CAGAATAACAAGAGTGAAAAAGGATTGGTAGTCTCTTATATTCGAAGCAGCTAATCGTCTACCTGCGGTAGGTTTCGCAAGCTCGATGATCAAGAGGTATATCTATACGATAAAGTTCCAAAATGGACGTCGAGTGAATAAAAGATATTTAGCTGGGTAAGAACTTGATAATGTGAGCTCAACTCCAGGTTTTATACAGGATCTAATGATGATTAGGCATGTCTTCTCCATCGCTAACCCATATCAGCAAATGGCAAGTGGTTTCATCAATCACCTCAACAAGTATTGAAAAGCTGCCGAGAATGTGGCCTACTTCATTGGAACTGCCAACTGATGTGCAAGTCATCAAAGCATTGAAACCCCCAACAGATGAGGCCTATATGGTTTGACTCGAGTCCTCGACCATTGAGGAGCCTGTTGAAAGCACAAATAAAATACAGCGAAAACAGCTGCGGCCGAATGCCCTTCTTATTAATGCCTCGACAGACCGCCTCTGGAGTGAAAACAATGTTTGGCTTTCGAAAGGTGTTATTCTCAGCATGGGCATATCCAGGACATCAAGATGCAGCAGCCACAAAAGGATCCATTACCAGTCACCCAAAGTGCCCAGTAGGAGAGATAGAAATATTCCCAGTAGAACAATCCATTACTACTTGTGTCGATGTACAGTGGTGATGTAAGGTGGTTCAGATGGAGTTTTGCGTATAGATTGTTGCATGAAATAAGGACGAGTGATACTCGCCGTGGAGATTCGGCCAAACACATAATGTTCTGATGTAGAGTCACCCAAGCCTTGAGCAAGATTCCAAGGAGCAACAGCCGCAGTCAAGGAGGCCAAACACATCACCTTGTGATCTCCCAAGCGTTGAGCCGTCGTTCGTTAAGAAAATTGGTGGAATATTAGTCCATGTGGATGAGAGGCCGACGTGATTCGTCACCCAAGCATTTGGGCAGCCTTGCATGAAAGAAGAAAATAGAGTCATTACCCGCTATGGCGGATAAGACCTGTTTAGAAGAATGGCAAGAAAAAAAGCGAACAATCTCGTTGTATGTAATTAGGCGTACTTGATTCAAACACGCAACCTTCTGATGTGGAGGATTGAGAAGGTTGACAAGACAAAGAAAGATGCAGCGATGGATGGATTTGATCGGACCTAGAGTCACCGACCTTCAACAGAGTCTTGCAAAAATGAAAACATAATGATTCGGACTTTTGACCCAGAACCACCAAGGGCCTTCCTTCATCCAACGTAGTAGGAAGGGAAGGACTTTGCTTGTGCAGGGCTTCCATTGCTAATGCAACTTGTTCCTGCTCCTTACTTGAACTCGTCACATCATGGGCTGCCAAAATAGGTTTCCCAAACCGATCATTATCAGTTTAACTGCATGGATGCAATCTCCGTTGCAGTGTGCCATAAAAGGGTGCCCGGTGAGTAACAGGTCGCCTCGGATCTAGAGTCATCATCGCCCTTCAGCAGTCTTTCACAGTAGAAAGAGCGGTCGTGTGGTAGAGTGCTGTGCGATTCCAGCACATAACATTTTGATCGATAGCCGCAAGAGAGTGCCTTGAGCTGTCGTCCATACAAACACTGCTGCGCGATTGCACCATAAAGGTCGAGGTTGGGTTTCACATGGAAGATATATTTGCTGACCATCTGGATACCAGTGGAAAAAAAGACGATCTCATCGCATGTAATGAGGCTTGCATGATTTGACCAGATAACCTTGAAATTCAGAGCCAGGAACGCCTTGACAAGACTCCAAGAAGAAGAAAGTATATTCAGCCGCTGCTACTGATGTGTCCATGTGATTCGACGACCCGCCAAAAGGCATAAGTAGGTTTCCTGAGGAGAGAAGAAAGAAGGGTTCGTTAGAAGACGAGGACGAGGCCAATGTGATTCGAAGACCCGCCAAAAGGCATCCGCAGATGTCTGAGGAGAGACAAAGTAATGGCTGCTTCGGAGAGGAGGCCTTTGTGATTCGAACATTCGCCAAAGCGCATAAGCAGGTTCCTAGCGAGAGACGGTTGGTTGGGATATGAAGCCTACGCGATTTGAACGGTAGCTTTGAGATCTAGAGTCACCAAAAAGGCATAGGCTGCCTTCCGAGCCCGGAATTGCGAATTGCCTTGGAGATGGGGCCTACGTGAATGCAACTCCAACGTCACCCAAACCATGCAAAATCGTATCGATGTGCTTGTAAATGATACGCACCTGATTGGAACACATACAAGTCGTAGCAATGCATTGACCGGGAAAAGAGGGTTAGATTTGACTTTGATGTGTAAATAGATGGCCTGCAATACTAGTCAAACGCAACTCGTATCAACCTATTTACCGTCATGCGAGCAAAGCGGCACGTTTCTGCCTATTCACCGTTACCAGCAAAAAGGCAGGTCTGTCTCGTTTGTGATTCGGAAACGGTCGAAGGAGGGCGGAGACTTTCTGAAAAAGATGATTGAATGGTTCACTGAGATATTTCCATTTTGGCGGCGGTAGCACTTGCGAACTGGACATGGTGGTTCTCCAGTGTGCGTTTCATATCGTTGAGGACGTATGAAGATGTCCCTTGCACCGCAAAGTTGTTCTCATCTCTCATGCGAATACCCGTACCAAACATCGTACCAGTGCTGCCCCTGGACCCGCCGCGTTTGACCTTGATCCTAGTCTTTTCTTGTAACCTAAACGTAAAATAACAGGAATTTTAGCCCGTGCGTTACCCAGGCTTGATGGTATGAACTTTCCGTCATGGCAACAACTATATGATGTGCCAGTTGAAAGGATTGCAACGACAGCAACCTAGTGCAGCAACTTGGAACTGCTTCCATGCTGCTATTGGTGGAGCAGTGCAAAGGGATTTTCCACCGTAGATCGTCAGGGCCGTATATTCTGATTTCTGCATGCGCTAGGCGCGAGCGGCCACAAGGGAAGACGTTACCGATCTTCCCCCCGAACATTGCAAGTCCGGGTGGGTGGGGCGCGAGGTTACCCCTACCCGGTATTGAGTGCCCTTACCAACACGAATCTTGCCTTCCCTAGGTATCCATGCATCATCAATTTGTCGTTCCCACCATTTATAAGTGTCAGATGATGGACGAGGTAACCAGGAATCGAATCTGTTGGTTGGTGAACCCAGTATTAAGTGCCTTTACAGCCTTCCCCAGTATTACGTGCCCTTACCCAGTATAAAGTGTTCTTACCCGGTATTGAAAACTGCCTATGAACTGGAGATTCCCAAAAGAAGAGTTGGCCAAGTTGCTTGCGCAAATGCCCGCGAGGAGCCACGTGCAGGTGCAATGCTGCAAAGGAGTAGGATACTAAATCTCAGCGTTTTTGCATACTTTCAAACCTGCCATGCTTGTCCGATAAATAGGTTGATGCGAGGCATGAATGATGCGACCGAGAGTGCAAACCGCTGCAATGGTGGATACATCGATGCGAGGTGTGAATGATGCCGCCGAGAGTGTTGCAAACCGCTGAGATGATTGAATGATGGATACTTTTGATACGAGTTGTAAAATCATGGTGTGCAAAAAGGCTGCAGTGGTTGCACGATGAAAAGGCTGATACGAGGTGTGAATGATGCCACCGAAAGTGTTGGAAACCGCTGCTCTGCTTTGAATGGTGGATACTTTTGATAAGAGTCTGTACTTTTGAGTCAACCCGTCCAAAAGTGCGACAATGCATTGTGACGAATGCCAGCGTTCAACACGACCATAATCTCGAGGTGGACTCTAACGAGATCAAAAGAGAAAAAGCCTTGATCCTCAAACTAATAAACCTAAATGGAATTCTTATGGATTTAGCTAAATGCACACGTTCAAGTGTTAGCAAAACGTAATCCATCCAAGCTACTGTGCAGGATGGAAACAAAACGGACACTGGCAACTGGGACCTACACCTTTTCGGTCTGGACATGGTGAACATGTATGACGGCAGGCATACATGTGAATCATGTACAGACTTGATCCTATCGTCGTATTTACCATTCAAACATGGCAGCAACATTGTCTGAACATGGTGAACATGTATGACGGCATCCACGTTCAGACTTGCTCCTATCGGCGTCTCTTTACCGCTCAAGCATAGCAGCAACATTATCTGAACATGATGAACATGTATGATGGCAGGCATGCATGTGAATCATGTACAGACTTGCTCCTATCGTCGTATTTACCATTCAAACATGGCAGCAACATTGTCTGAACATGGTGAACATGTATGACGGCAGTCATACATGTGAATCAAGTACGCTGTTCAGCGAAATCCCAGCCTCTCTACTTCCTAGAGCTCGTCGAGCTTTCGTCCTTTCACGTTTTCATAAGGAACTGTTTAGCATTACTACCTTGGACGTTTTGCCGCTGGTTCCGCCATCACTGAGGACAGAGGCGACAGGGGAGCACTGGCACAAAGCGAAAGAGGACTTATTGACGGAGATTGTTAACGCTATTGGCACGCAAATTCGAACTTGGAGTGGAAACAACATTGACCTATGCTTATCTGGAATAACAGACTCTCCCTTGTTCTGCAAGGTGGAGCAACTTGCCACACATCTCGGCCGTACGGAACAGCTGATGTCTGAACTCGAAAGCTCAAAACAATTAGCGAGGAAGAGAATGTTTTTTTCTTCCAGGCCATGTTCATGTGGGAATGCACCATCACCCGTCTGCGCTTTTGTAGAATGTGTTGTTGGTCAAAGTATTGTATGGGACATGGACGTTGCCGTTATCGAGATGATGACGTTGACGAATGGGACCGCCTCAATGAGGAATTTTGTTCGTAGAATATAAAAACTTGCTTACGTGACCAGAATACAAAAGGGCTGTGGGATGACTCGGCTGAGTCATCTTCCATTGTTCTACAATGATATAAACGGTGAAGAATCTTGTGTTACCGGGGATTGAATTGTATTTTTTGTGTTACCGGGGACTCAAGAGAATCATGCACGTGATGGCATGGCGTGAAGGGATATAACATCATCATTGCAACCTTGGTCCCAGCGAAAAATGCGAAAAATGCGACTGCTGTTAGAAATTCTCGATGACCTCTTTTCCGCCTACATGTTTCTGGGTGACACGATTTACACTGTGGGAAGGGTCTTGAAAAGTACGATCGGCGGACACGAACAAACGAAGCAAAAATGGATCGATCTGTTGGAAAAAAACTGGCAAGACTTCCCAGACGAGGATCGCGCGGAGGAAATAGCGGAAGGCAAAGCGTTTTGGGATCAGGAGGCAATCAACACGAACCTAGATCTCCACGACTTGATATACGCATTCAAGGCGAACTGGGACACTCACCAACCTGAGAAAGTCATCACGATTTTCGCCGAATGCCTGGCTCCGAAGAGGCAATTGGTACTTCATTGGGCAGCGCAGGTCATGAAGATGTATGGCATTTGTTATTTGAACTTGAACAGGTTGGGCCCGCCCGGGTTCCCAGATGGATGGTATATTGTGAAAGGTCTACTAAGGGAAGACGAAGTGACGGAGCGCATGTCTTTCGAACCCATTGAGGAAATACAAGTTGGCCGATTCATTTTGGAGGTACTTGGTGCATATCTCGTCAAGGTGAAGGGGGCGACCAGTGACGAGATGACGATACTTGTGTCACTCGTTGATAAAGGAGGCATCGTATGGGATTTAAGTTGCAAGTGTTGGATGCCGTACACTTACGATCAGACGAAGTCCGAGGAGTTATTGATGCGGGGTATGATGGGATATGCTACTGATGGAGCGGGGAAAAAGAAGGAGGAAACTGAATGAAATAATGGTCGACTTGCTCCTATCGTCCTATTTACCGTTCAAACATGGCAGCAACATTGTCTGAACATGGTGAACATGTATGACGGCAGGCATACATGTTCACCACGTACAGACTTGCTCTTATCCACGTCTCTTTACCGCTCAAGCATGAGCAGCAACATTGCAACGAGTGGGTTGACCGGGTTTGACAGAGCGGACCTACCGCCATCCCAACTAGTATCGAGTATTTCATGGGACAGATAATGGCAACACTTGTCCGATGAACACTTTTGAGTTGTGGTTGAAATGATTGCAATTCCAATGAAAAAAAAAAAAAAAAAAAAAAAAAGTTTAAACCGCGGCTACATCTTGAACGGCCATACGACGATATAAAGAGAAGAGTCCTGATCTGGTTCCCAAAACAAGAAAAAAAAGGCAATCTCTACCCGTGGGGATGAGGCCTACGTGATTCGAACACGTAACCTTCTGATCTGGAGTCAGACGCGCTACCGTTGCGCCAAGGCCCCCATATATTCCCTACATTGTCATCCACTGCCACCGTTGCGCCAAGGCCCCGTATGAACTATCCTCAACATGAACAACTCGTCCCCTCGCCAGCCGCTGCTACCGTTGCGCCAAGGCCCCCATATATTCCCTACATTGTCATCCACTGCCACCGTTGCGCCAAGGCCCCGTATGAACTATCCTCAACATGAACAACTCGTCCCCTCGCCAGCCGCTGCTACCGTTGCGCCAAGGCCCCCATATATTCCCTACATTGTCATCCACTGCCACCGTTGCGCCAAGGCCCCGTATGAACTATCCTCAACATGAACAACTCGTCCCCTCGCCAGCCGCTGCTACCGTTGCTCAGCTACCGTTGCACCAAGGCCTGCCGGCCTTGGCGCTACGGTAGCTTGTTTCTGAGGTCCCCCGCGGCGATGTCAGTGCATATCTCTACATTGCCGATATCTAGATTGCACAAGAAAATGGTCCCTCGACACAATGTCCACTTGCTTGGGTCGTCATCGGCTGCTACTCAACCCTAACCCGTACCTAATATCAAGTTTAACCCTAACCTAACCCTAACCGCAGCAATATCAGTCATCATGATGCATATCTCCACCTTGCCAATAATCTAGATTGCCATAGATAACCGGTTCTGCTCCTCCCCTTACACGATATCCACTGGCATAGGTTGTCATTTACTGCTACCCAACCGTAACCCGTACCTAATCTAAATCTAACCATTCTCCTCCACAAGAGATTCCTCCCGGTAGGCAGGTAGGGGGGGTGCTTTTGAATCAACTGGTCATGTTCACAACCACATTCACAGTCACGTTTACGCCTGTTGGAATGAATTGATATCATCGGAAATCTTAGAGGATGGAAACGTCGCGACACCATTTACATGCGCCAGCAACATTTAAAGACCTCATCCCATTTCTTAATGAGCGTTTGCAATAGAGTTTGAACAGTGCCTTGCTGCATATTCCAATGACAACAAGTGCAGGACTCGGGTTGATTCTCTACCCACTGGATTCCTAGACTTCCACGGTCGCGTAAGGGATCTCATCGGAAATGCCATAAGGATGGAAACGGTGCAAACCCATTTACGTACGCCAGCACATTCATGACCCCGCCCTTTCTTGATGCAAGTCGGAAATACTGTTTGAATAGTGTTTTGTTGAATATCCCAATGGTAACGAGTGAACGAGTGCAGTAGCAGGACTGATTACTCTCCACACTAGATTCCTAGACTGCCATAGGTTGTGCGTGTTTCACGCATCCGATGGAAACTTGGATAACTCGGCCATTTCGTAACTTTTCGACAAGACCAGAACGGTTTTGAAAAGCCCTGAATCGTGGCTATAACCTTGTTGTAATGCTTTTCTAGCTAATATATTTCCCTGCACACCAGATCCACATGCAAAGATCGTCATCCGCTGCTACCCATCTATGTCGTAGGGTTTTAGATGAGCTTAACTTGGCGAATTCGTAACTTTTGGACAAGACCAAAACGGTCTTGAAAAGCCCTGGATCGTGGCTATAATCTTGCTGTAACGCTTTTCTAGTTAATCTATCCCCCTACACACTAGATCCAGTTGTAAAGATCGTCATCCGCTGCTAGCCATTCATGTCGTAGGGTTTTGAATGGGTTTATCTTGACGAGCTTTGTAACTTTTTGAAAAGGCCAAGACTGGGTCTGAAAAGACATGGATCGTGGCTGTAACCATTGAAAGCAGACCACTTGAGCGTCACTGTTGCCAGAAAGTGCCACATGGCGTTCCTGTATTGAACAACCCGGTGCATCGTCCCCTTTCCCCTTCCTCCTCTCTCTTTGAATGTTCCTAAGGCTTGCAAACGGGTGCCCCTCGTCTAATAAGACTACTTTTTGCCGTTGATGGGGGGCATAGGTTTGAACTTTGTTCGGGACAAGACGTCTCTCCCCAGGTTTTATCGCCTCCTTTGCATTATGTTCACTCCGTGGTGATAAACCTGACTGCGTTCATGGCCATCAGATCTGGGCTGTCGGGCAGCAAGGTGACATTGTCACATATCTGTTTGGCTTGTTCCGAGAGTACTATGAGAAACAAGGAAATGTCTTCCGCAATTGCATCTCCAAAGTCGTCTACCAACACCCAGACCCTCCCAGTCTTCTTGGAGGTCCCCCCAAAGCCTCTGGATCTCACTTCCAGACTTCCAGACAAGAGATAGAAAACAAGTATCACACAAGTCCCTTTCGACACCTCGACACATTTCAACAGACTATCAAATCCGACATAGGACAGGAAATCAGTGTGTGGATCATTATTGGGTGCTGCATATAATTCCCAAAGTGTATATCAACTGTGAAGACGTTGTACGACTGAGAATTACTGTAATGGGTCTACTTTTATGCAATCCCTTGAAAAAGGTGACTATTCATAATGATACTACACAGCTCGTTAAATAATGAGGCCTTAACCAAACCCTTTTCCACACATTACATTGCTTGCTCGATAGATATTCCCAACCCTGACCCGAACCTCGCTGATCCATTTCCAACAACTGTCCATCATCAGCATGAACTGGCTCGAAACTGTCTGTTGCATACATGTATAAAGTTAAATAATCTACCACCTCTTCTTCGCATCTTAACATTGAACGCGCGCTGGAATTGTTAATAACGACACTTTACATCTTGTTGACAATGATGATGGTAAAGGCTGGTACATGAGCAAACAAGGGGGTCTAGTCTGTGTGCGTAGACATGTCGTATCAACTGACTTCAATGGCCAGGCTTTAATTTATGTAAAAAGAGCGCCAGAGTCAACGCCTACCTGCCCGCTCTCCACTGCCCCGCTACTACCCTACTAAACAGGTTTTCTTTTGCAATCTATATTACTGGCCATATAGAGCTGCGCATGCCTGACAAATTTCCCTACTATGCATTATAGCAAAGGAATTCTGTAGGCAAAAGTTTTCTTACCTGCATATGGTACCGATAGAGGATGTCAATTTTGGAGATATTGTATATATGAAGATAACTCCAATGGGATTCCTTTTGCAATTCAAGTTATCGACCATTTAGAGAATGCGTGCACTCAACAACGTGTCCCTAATACACATTATAGTAAAGAATTCCCTAGACAAAAGTTTTGTTAGTTCCTTTGTCTCTAGTTAGTTCGTTAATCAGTGCTTCCTAGCGGCATATGATATATATAAAAGTACGCGATGTCCATTGAGAGACCAAAGGTCTCACCGCAATTGCGTAAAGATATCCTCCTGCTCTTCGTCATCTGGACGGCTACCCCACTACATGTATCGACTTGGTGAGTATTCTTTATTAGAAATGTTTCACCACATGGGAAGAGTACCAAATGCTCTACTTGGTGGACCCTTGAGATCTCTCTGCTTTCAGCTTGGCCATCTTGTCCTCTAATTCGCCTTTCTTCTGTTCTACCACTAACACCGCCCCATTGTCAAAAAAAAGGATCTCATAGATTGAGCCGGCATTCCATTTATGAGCGAGATCTTTCTTCGCCTCGTCTGCGGCACGATTCTTATTAGGAACCCAATGAGCGCGGGTTTGCACGAATTCATCAATCCTGCCCTGGCACTCTTCTAGGGTTTGGTATCCTTTCTCCTGCGTTTTGAAATCGAAAACGACTTTTTCCGAAAATTGAATATCTGCGATCTCGCTGGAGAATTTGGTTTGGCGATTTCAGTACATGAACAGGCGAACGGTCGACCGTAGTCGCACCTACATTGGTTGCCCTCCAATTTCAAAGGTGTTTCCGATAATTGCCGCACGCTGAGTAGCGAAGTCCACTTTGTTGTCGGTCGACATGTCAAAAAAGATAATTATGGACCCCTGTTGTGGAGGGTAGGGGGCGATCTGCAAATCGAGTTTCGGTGCTGCCAACTTTTGTTGCAGAATTTTGCGAATGGTATTTCTCAACGCATCTTTAAACTCGGGATGACGATCGAAAAATTCCCTTTAGGTCTCTAGGTAAATATGCACCTGGTGAGCGATTCTAAAAGATGTTCACATCGAACTCACCAGGCGTCAATACACTTCAAGACTACTCTAATTATAAAGTTGATCATATTCGGCTTTGTCAATGCAGAGGATTATGTAGGTCTCCTTTAGTCGGCTGGAAGAAAAACTCAAGTTTACACGAAATGTCTTTTCTGGGGACGAGGAATCCATCATTCCTTTTATCCTCTGCCAAGCTCCATTCGTTCACCAATCTGCTTCCGACCTATACCCTGATGTTTGCATCATTCTTTTTCATCTACCAGCACCGGATTTTTAGCAGGTAATTATGCTTTACCAATTGAAAAGGTTTTAACAATAATGGCTTTTGCCTTGCAAAAGCTGGCAAACGCTTTGTCAATGCTCTTTGTCCTTCACATGGTCATCAGCAGACACACAAGTTTCATGATATGCAAGGGTATGTTGTGAATATTCATACTCTTTTCCTGCTTCCTGGACCGCCTTTGGTTGAACGGCGCCTTTTGTCTTGTATGTTGTGACGTAGATCTTGAGGAGCAAAGCTAGTACACGCGTTTCCTTTCATAAAGTCAGAGTAATCCACAAAGGAAGCATTGAAGTTGATTCAATAATAAAGTCCGCCAAAATCACCACGTTCTTATCTTCAATTGTGGGGGAAGTTTATTCAAAGTGATAGAAACCTGCCTTTCAACTTGATAGTGTGCTGCTCCGCATAAGGTACACAAGCAAAGGTGTCGTCATCTCTGGCCAACAATCTTTAGGAACTCGGTGACCGGAACCTTGTCCCCTAGTAAAAAAAATCTCAGGCCCATGTTTCTAAGTTGCATCAAACAAGGATGACAGATTGGCGGATATACTTGGGACTTGGTTGCTGCAATGGTCGCATACTAATTTCGCACTGCTGCGGTGATCAAGAGCGACGAAGACTTGATCGGTATATCTACCACTCAAAGTGGTAGTGTGCTCTTTCAGCAGACAGAACCTTTTCTCCTCGTCATGGAGCTTAACACCCCAAAAGAATTTCTTAACGATATGTGTCTTTTCCCTTCAGTAGTTATATATGGCGAATGGATTCCGGCAATTAGCCGTCGAATCTCTTCTTCCTTCAGCTTACCATCGATGTTTTCTAGGTCTTTAAGCAAATTCACGTACTTATTGAGAACACAGCTTACTATGTTGCTGTGATGCTGCATCTTTTATTTCAATGTCCTACAGATATCATGACCTACATATGCACCAGCAACATTTACGATCGCGACCTTTTGAAGACGTACATTAGAACTCGTATCGATGCATTCATCGGACAAACACCGGGACTTCACTTAATGTGCATATCCGGGTACTCATGCATTCATTGCCGACTGATGCACTTCCGCTGCCATTGGATGTAGCGGTGAAAGTTGGAAGTCGAGCGGCATATCACCTTTAGATTTGCAGGATGGACCTCACAACTTTTCTTTCTCCCCTCATTGCTAGTTTGAACGAGCGGTTGATCTTGATTCACACATGTATTGCAAATCGTCTATCGTCCGTATCCTTGATGTCACCGATCCAAGCTAAGCACCCCTATGACCCCCCTGGTTTTTTTCTTGTCCGGCCCCTTCCAAGCATGCCCGAGTTAAACCAGTCCTTTTCTTGTCCCAACTGAAAACATACCAACATGAACACTTGTTCGACCGAGGGGCCTTCTACGTCCCAAGAGTCGCTCCCGCGACGTCAGGTACTCATAAACGTAACTGGGGACGATCCAGACGACGAAGAGCAACAGGAGATTTTTAAGCAAGACGAGGCCTTTTGGAAAATAGTATTTGACGCATTTGGCCAAGAGTGAGATCAAATGTTTTTGCCTGTTTGCTGCTGTCAAGCAAGGCAACTGACTATTCGGAGCTGTCTCGCTTTCCAGGCCGACTGGCACATCGGACCCTCAATCTGCTGCGACCACCGGGGACGTCCCAGCAGCCTCACGTTTTTCTACAACCGATGACACTCTCGCTAAATTTATTCCTCCCCAACGATCGGCCACAGCATGTCCCAATGCTGCAAAAACGATTCTGAAGTATCTGCCCGGAGCGATAACATCCACGTTATATGAAGCGGAAAGTTTTGCGCCAACAGAGGTCATTCTTCTAGACCAGCCGACGAGGCACCTTTTGCTTGCCGTCCTTCTCTCTGGTGCTCTGAGCCGGGTCTGGTCCTCAATGGATATAACAATCAATGCACATTCAGATGAAGATGGGAATTTTGGCTTGGCTGAAGGCACTCAGGTTTCCGTGGCTGATATTAGAGATCTCGCCAAAACACTGGACGTACACGATAGTCGTCTCCCAAGGGACATTATGGCTTGGATCAACACATGCTCTTCCCACGTTGACTTGGGGGATAGTTGGCTCGAACTGCCGTATTCACGACGAATGATGAACCCTTTTTGCCCGCTGTCGGGGTAGCTGGTATTCTTAAACTATCGGACGAAATACCCAGTGACGAGCGCTTCAAAGAAACGAGGCTAGCTGCTGAATATGGACGGAGGAGACTAGTTCAGCTACTCGGAGAAACTGCGCTGGAAAAGATCCAAGGGGAACTACCTGACTATCCTGGTTTACGCGCAGACGCTGTTAACATGATGCAGAGAATTGGGAAACTTAATCCAGTATCGTTTCCGAAAGCCAAGTAGGTTAAAGCAATCGTTCTACTCTACTATGCATGACGAAACTAACAACTATCCTATGCAGTGGATTCTACTCGACGCATGCTGGTGGAGGCGCTTGTACCGTTTACATCCACGGAGATGTGGCTGTCTCATTTGATACTGGCCACATGGCATTTTTTGCAACAAATGCCTGGTTACTACTCCGCATGAGTGAAGTCAAGAAGTTTGTAATTATCGTCTCGCACATTGACTGTGACCATATGAACGGAGCAAAAGTACTGCTTGACTACTTGTCCGGCGACATTCGCTCCTACAAAGTTGAGCTTATCGCACTATAGTACGTAATGTTGTACCCTGGATTGGTATTGCCGGGTTCTACTTTCTTCTCATTATACTGTAGCTTCAACTCCCCTGGTTCAGGCCACCTAAGTGAAGGTGTCCGTTCAGTGGCAAAAGCAAAATGTGTGTTCAAGCTAGTGACCGAAAATCCCGACAAATTCAACATTTTGAGAACAGTACATATTCCTACAAGTAGCGATCCCACAAGTAGCGGCTTTGGCAATTTCGACCAAAAAATGAAACCTCTGAGCATTCCGACAAAGGTACTTTAATCTTGTCAGCTACTAGCATTGAATCATTGCTCATCCACTTGTAGCTCCATTGCAAAAATCCCTGACCCTTCCAACGTAAAACCCTCCAAAAGTGCCGCATCACGGCGGCAGAAGGGACACTTATGATTCAGATGACCACGTTATAAACTTTTATAAGAAGGTAAGATGCCCAGATCTACCTGATCAATACAAACGGAGAGAGATATGGACATCCAGGTCAGTTACTCTGAGGCAATGATCACTGGATGGAAATCCTGTTCGTCGAATGCCGTTTTATTCTAGACAAGGACGTGGTGACAGCGATCATACAATCGATTGTTGAAAGAAGAAAGCGCGCAAGTATCCAGTTTACGCACGTTGACAATCGTGCAAAGAAGGAGGAATTACAACGACTCAAAAACCTCCACGACCCTTATGACTATGTAAACTTCCACTTGACACTGCGTGCACAAACGTATGGCGGGCAAACGGGCTATTGGGATTTAATGCCTCCACCAATTCCCATTGCCACATCGCCACCATGATATATATGCCAGGTACCCTTCCTCTATTCACTTCCAACTAAACTGCATCTCGTGGTAACCTTAACAACCCTAAGTACTTGGAAATTGGACCCCAGATGGAGGCCCAAGGAACTCAATCGATAACTATAGATTAGCAAAACTTCAATGTTTGTGACGATTCATGTATCATGCGGATAAGAAACTGTAGTTTACACTGTAAAAGCCTGGAGTGGGTGTCAAATGTTGACTATTTGCCACTTTGTCCGGTCTCTCTGTGCGTTGAGCTGATGCAGCTGTGAAAGGTTTGGGCAGCACGCAAGTACATTGTAGAAAGCAAGCGCATATATGCACTTCTCTACTGTCGATCAAGCAACTAGAGTTGAGACGATTTGCAAGTGTGCTAGTTTTTCCGCTGCGCGTTCAGATCATCCCCTTGGACTCGTAGTGATCCAAACGTCATCGGCAAACTTACGACTCTAGTGTGATTCTTACATTGGCATTTAAAAACCACAGAAAGACAACCACCTCTAAATCTTGAAAACAACCCACAAAAGGATGAAAGAAACAGACCAAGTCGTCCAAGAATTTCATAGCCTCGTCAACATGTCCCCATCCGAACTACAAGCATGGTTACAAACTGACGAGTCCCTAAACGTTGGAATGACAAGAGAGAATGAAGACGAAGCTGTTGGACATCAAAGGTTTCTGTAATTCATTCAACAATAGGCGGAATACATTGTACTCATCACTAAAATGCTATTCATAACAAACAGTGGTAGAAAGATTATCGAAATCCTTGAACGGCAAGACCAATACACTGATCAAGATATTTCTCATATGCGGAAAGTGGTTTCTTATATTAAGCGGCATTTGGCTCAACGGCATCGAATCAAGAGTGGTAATGTTGAGCATACGAGGTGGGCTTATAGTTTAAAGAATTGGGGACATGATCCTGTCAAGGTTGAAGAGTGATTTATAGGGGTGGAATATTTTGGAGGAATGGGACGATTTTGGTTTTAGGATGGGAGGTTTTGATGTTGAAGATGACGATTATAGGGAGTCTATTTTACGTACTTCATGTCCTGCTGTACAATGTTCATTTTGGACTTGACAGTGTAAACCGTTTCTTGTTAATTCGGCATCGCCTTTGAGCAGAATTTCTGTCCATCGCCGTCATTTTGATCAAGCTCCATTATCTCATCTGCAGCCTTTTATTCCAACTTTCCACTCCTCTTTAGCCGATCGATCAGGTTTGCTGCATTCTTCTGCCGTCTCCCGAGGTTGCTATTCTCGTACATGACTTTGCTACCCTTGTTTAAAATAGCTGGTCCGGCAAAAAGGATATAAAGTTCGCCGCTGCACTGCCGAGTGGAATCCTATCAATTGCCTCCTACATTGAGTACGTACAAGGTCAACTGTGGGACACCCTGTACATTGAGCCAGTGGTATCGCCACACGGTGATTGGCACCATCGAGGACCTGCGAAAGCATCTCCCCTGCCATCCGCAGCGTTGTAACGTTTTAACTGAAAGAGGGGCGCCAGGATCTGGCGACAACCTGCCCTCAAATACACCCGTGTACAATTTCTTGCAGCAAATCAACAATTGTGCGGTAACCTTCAAGAAATGGCCGACTTGAACGATTCACGTACCATCCCGCACAATCCAGTACGATTCAGGGCAAGACATTGCGAATGAAAACCATATGGTACATCTCCCTGCGATACGTGGTGGTAATGGCATATACCACATTCAATATTTCGTGGGTAGATCAGCGAGAGTTGATACCGGCAAGAGAAATCAGTGGCACTGTGTGAAAGCTGGGCACGGAGAGCAGTATCCCGTCCGACTCATTAGTTCGTGGTTTCTGCAGCCGGAACGAACATGAGATTGTCCTAGTCTCTCAAAATACTTGTTCTTCTGTCGTTGAAGCCCAATCTACTCAGAGACTCTGCAAAAGGGAGGTTAGTACAATTATTACATAGCCATTCACCTTTGATATCAAGTTACTAGTTTCCAATAGTGAGTATCTATCTAGAGTTTACCTGGAACATGGAATGCTGGAATATCTAAATAAAAATATCATTTCCTGGGTGGAGGTACTTTACCTCACCACAATTTCCTTTACGCTAATGTTTTCAAACATCCAATCCAAGTGAAAGACGACCATTGAAATCCATCTATTTCATCGTATCCGTTCAAACAGTCTCCGCCGCTTTGAGACTACTATACAGCACATACCGATTTATTTCACCTTGTAGCGTATTACCCTAACCTGACAATTCTGCTTTTACGCATAGATACTTCAAGAGCCGGCCGCTGACAGCAGTATTCGACGACAGGCGGACATTGTCTCCCACCTCATACACGGTACACTGGTCGAAGATGACCCCGTATCTGCGCTCATACAAATCGCACGACAGTGAGACCATCTGAATGTTGGGGATTGAAAAGACAAAAGTCCAATGCTTCTGAATGCGATGAAAGGTAATGGATGTCATCCGGTTATGCCTTGGATATCAAAATGTTCGCATATTCCAGTCAAGTTCATAGATAATTATTTTTGTCGTTGGAATGACAGAAAGGTTCTACAGAATGACCCATTAATCAACAAACAAGTTGGAAGGCCCTGAGCGTGCATGTACTGTAATACCATCACGTGTTGATCGGAATGGACTTTTGTTTATAATCGTGTCTTTAGAGTACAGGGAGCATTGGGAGCACTTTACAGCAAAACAGAACAAAGTGGGCATTTAGGTGCGAGTACATAGGTAAAAAGCAGCCGGCACTTAACATGCCGAGTTTCCCAAGTATTATGGTCGAACGACCAAGTGACAATACACGCATGACTAGCACGTTTTTGATAATACAAACGGTTTGCAAAAAAAGTAAAAAGAAACAAGCCATCACATCAACATGACAACATACTAGAATACCGAAAACCAACAAAAAAAGCATACCAACACCAAAAACAAAAACAAAACAAAAAACACAGCTACATCAACAAAGTAAAAAAAAAAAATACGACTACAATACAATGCTACAACCACACTATAAACAAACCCTAAAATCAACTTCCTATACTCTACAACAAAAAACCAATAACCTCACCACCGAAACATTCCCCATCCACACACCCCAACAACCAACCACATCACCCAAGCACCTCGCCCCTTTGAAACCCCAACCCCAAAACTCGACCCAACAAGCACTACACCAAACAAGAGTGGTATCTTGCCCACATTCCATTGTGGGAATGCGTCGGGGGATGGATCATCATATACAAAAAGCGGGTCATTGAAATCATATTGAGGGGCCGTAAAGTGGTTTAAAAGGGATTTGAGGAATGTTACGACGAGGGTTGTGTATTGGATGTAGAGGAGGAAGATGGAGAGGATGCGGAGGAGGGAGATGGCTCCGTCGGGGGTTGGATGGAGACTTGGGGATTTTAGCACGGGGGGTGAAGGACTTGTCGAGGGGGTTGGAGGTTGTGTGTTTGTAATGTCGGGCGACGAGGGAGAGACGATTGGGCAGTCTTTGGGAGGATAGAATGCGTCCGTGTCGATAAAGACCGCCGAGTCCACCCGGTCTAGATCCTTGGGTGGCAATTCGTGGTCCGTGTCAATAGTTTCGTCCATGGATGATCCTACAACAGGTGTTTGCATTACAGTGACGACAGATGGAACCGGCAAGTGGAGATGCAATTCCGCATTGACTTCGTTCTCGGGCATGTCGCATATTTCAGGTGCAATTTCACGTTCTCTAGTAGTATCCTTGACGGGCTCTACATTTGGAAATAAATCGTCTTCAGGCGGAAATTCAATATCTTCTTCATCGGAGGGGCCGGTAACTTCATCCCAGTTCCACATCAAATCTTGCTGTTCGTCGCTGACATACGAAAACTACAAATTCGAAAATAAAATTTAAGCAACAAGTCCAAAATTACAAGATAAGCAACACGGAACATACCTCATCCCCCTCCTCTTCACACCTAGCCCGCCACTCCTCATCCTCATCTTCACAGCTCCATTCCGATATCGTATCCAAAACATGCGGAACAAACGCCATCAAAGCATCCCTCGAAGCCCGGGGCTCAAAATACATTTGGTAAATTCGGCGGTCGTACGCATCGAGACCATCAATATCGTATTCAGCAGAAGAGCACGAGTAACTACTAATCTCAGAGGATTCATCCCAAGACTCAATGTCGTCGTCTTCTTCTTCCTCATGTGTGTCGAGGGGTATAATTGTCGGTAGAAGGAGAGAATCACCTCTTTGGCTCTACGGGTTGAGCAGCCATTGTGTTGATAAACGACAAGACTGCTGCAGTAGGCGGTATACGATGAGCTCACCTGTCCAAATTCTACCAGATCCAAAGCACCCTGGTCCAGTAATGGATGAGCACGGCGGACCGTGACCATCTCTGCCTCCGTATCTGGTGTATCCTCATTGCAGGGCGGGTCGTGATCAGATGATGGAATCATGAAGCATTCAATGGGAATGCAGTCTTCTTTGACCGCATTTTGCGCCAAGATTGTTTTCTTCTCAAGACTGCCTTGTAGAACGGGAACGATCGAATCTATATGCAATTCCTCGGCAGGCCCATCGCGGGTCGCTTCTTCGTCCATGACCCATTCAACTACAGTCATGCTGGCCCGCAAGTGGGGGACCACACAGTTTATATTCACGCTTTCCGCAGCAATCGTTTCTGCCTCCATTTCTACACCAGCGTCAGCAGATACAATGCAGCTGGCGACTTTAGGTAGGATATGATCCGTTTGCAGGAACCTAGTGCTTCCAGTGCGCTCCATCAATGTAACCTCCTCCTTCATCCATGCAATACTACGTTGTACGGAGGGTACAATCTCGTTATGATAAGGGCTGGGGACATCGTCAAGGATATTTGCATCGTTCTGGAGTTGATGCAGCTCGCTTTTCAAGACGGTACTTACAGGTGCAAGATCTACTCGAACTGTTTGTAGAGCGTCCACCGGTATCTCATGAAGGCTGCCCACGTCCAAAGGAACAAGCCACTTTGTATTTAGTGGGGATATGGCCGCTTCCTTGTAGGCTAGAGCCTCTGGCGTCTTGTCCTGTTGGCAAAGAGCAGCGTTTTCAACTGGGCACATCCATGTTATTTTCGTTTCCGTGCTAGGGGCAAGTTGTTCCATCTCTACTGCCGCATCGGTTTCCACTGTATTAATGATTGCTTCGGTTGTTGGAAGGATGCAAGAGATGATGACTTCTTGGTTGGTTTCGAATCTTTCAACACTCTTCTCTGGCGTGGCATCCACCGTTGTCGCATGACCTTGTTGGACATTGAGAATGATGTGCGTGGATGTGGGCACTGGTGCCTCGTGAGGACCGCAAGATTGCTCGCATGCTGCCGGGAGGAATGACTGGATACCGTCAAACACCGGGAAAATGTGGGCAATGTCCAAGCGTTCTGCTGGGGGTTCCAGAACAGCACCTTCTCCAGGCGGGGACTGGACGTCCCACAGGTTCCCCCGTGCCACATTTACAATCGGCGTCAGCGCTATGCTTTGCACATTATTCATGTACACTGCGTCGCACGAACTATTGTCGTGCATATTGGACGTCTCTCCAATGGCAACAGGGAGGATGACGTTGGCAGTCACTGTCCGTGTATGCACCCTATCGACCTGGGCATCGCTGTCCACATCCATATCTGTTAACATCCCAAGAGTCAAAGGAATAAGAAGAGACGCGCGGGTGATAGGCACTGGTAGCGACTCTCTGGCAAGATGCATTTTAGCAACATCCGTCGAGACAACCTGACCGACAGCCCAAGGCATGTCGATGCCAGTTCTTTCCCCCTGCTGCTGCTTCCCAACACTCAAGACCGCACTCTTGATATCCACAGCTGAATCGCGCAATTTGAGAATAGGCCTGCCATTCTCGTCATCTTCAGGATCCCATAACGATTTCAGATCCAATGACTTGCCGTAGATGCTGCGTCTACGGGCAAAGGTGTCGGTGCTTTTACGGTCGAGGGGGACTTCGAGAGGAAGAAGGTGTACACTGGCGTCAATGATGGTGCTTTGCGGTCGGCTGGATCGACGTTCGGGTGGGACAGCGGATACAGGTGATTGAACGGCGGGGATGTCGTCACTACCAGTCCGCGAGGAAGGATTTGACGTTGGATGGGGCAGTGTAAACACTCTTGATAACGGTCGCTGTGGTCTGACATTATTCTCTGCAACGACGACATCAACGCTAAACGTTTTGCTCAATCGATTCAATCTCGCTTCCAAGACACAAGTCTTTGCGCTTAGTTCCTGGAGTTTCCTGCGTCGTTCTTCATAGACATTTCCACCGGTGACTTCCGGTCCAGATGACATGGTGGGTCAATCATGCGTACACGACTGTCAAAAGGGACACTAAAGGGGGGGGGGAGGAAACGTCTAAAAATCTGTCAGTGCGTATGATGCTTTTAATGTCGTTTTGGCCAGTGAGTGAGTAATGATGAAGAGCAGTGATGGGGCTACGATAAAATGGGCGGGTAACTCTCAAGGAGAAAAAAAGACAAAAAACCAAGGGCAGAAACAAAGCAAACGACGACGACGACGAGGAGGAAGGGCGAGGGGGATCAACTCCTAGGTGTGGCTTAGCTTCACACTTGCAGCGAAACGTCGTGCAAATTGCACACTTGCAAAAATCTGTGTTTTTCTTTTTGGACAATATTTCCGAGCAACGAGATGGAGGAAGAGGACGAGGGATGGGGGTTAGGCTGCTGTAAAAACCTCCCGTCGCAATGGACATGTCTTTTGTATGTCTTTGTTGATAATATCAATGTACATGTGCATGTACAGATGGCGATGCACAACAAAAAAAAGAGGTGATGTTGGTCCAGTCGTCGTCAAGGAAGGGGGGGGCAAAAGCAAAAAAACAAAAAAATCCTTCTCTCTGTGTGTGTTGCTTGCTGCTGCTGTTTGCTGATTAAAAAATCTTTATGCTCTTTTCCAATTGCTGGTGCATTATCTCTTTTTGTATCAATTTTATCAACGATTTTTGGAACTCCCATCCCCATTTGGGGATCCATTTGATTATTTGGGGAGTAATTGGAGTCGATTTTCAAAAAGGATGCTGGCAACTGGCATTTGGTAACAATGTGAAATGTTCCAATGGGGGCGGGATACTCTTGCAAGCAAAGAAAGTTTGAAACTTTTGGCACATTTTGTATCTTGCCATAGCCGTTGTTGTTCCCCCCTCGAGGCGGGAGGAATCTCGCACTTGTGATTTCCACATGGCCATAGGGGTCCTGGTCGTTGTAATCGTCCGAATGCAAACTCACCAGAATAGGGCTGTGCATTTTAGACGCCCGGCATGCAGCATACTCCAAATGGTGCTGCTCCCCCGTTGGGGACCGCTACTGGTATATATCCGCCTCTGCACAAATTTACACCGACATTTGCAAATACAGATGTTTTCAGACGTCTTGACCATGGAAATACATGCATCTGATGTGCGAGATATTTTCAGCTGTACTCGTTCGCCTCTCCGCTTTCAGACTTAATGTCGTCTGGAGTTTACAGCGGTCGTTGCAGCCGATTGTGGTACTGAACTGGCCCGGTGCTCTCATACTCTTTGCAAAAGGTTGCGTTATCCTGCAAACCAAGCCAGTTCGACAGGTGCTTTATGAACCCATTGACCCAATTGATGGAAAGACACAGACTACACACTGGCGAAATGTCATCAGTACCATTCACCTTGTTGATCTTCACATTTTCCAGCTGGTACACGTTTATTCCGAGTCGGGACAATGGCTTGCTTTGCAGGGTTGATCCATTCAAACAGTTGAGGAAATTCTGTGTCAAGTGAAATATAACGCTGACAATGATACCTTGCACTTTTTCAGGAAACTCTTGACGAAATTGTAGAATGCCATGCACTGAAGCATGCGTTGGAGTAATCCCTGGAAAAGCACACCTACTCCTGGAAACTTGGAAATTAGTTGAATAAATGCAAGTACACATCATTGCAATCTACATAACCAGTCCCCACTTGTGCATCTTCTTGGTGGACTTTTCCATGCTTATATTGAACAATATTTGGACTTTGCTCGGGACCCAAGGAAGGACACACTCATCCTGTTCAGCCTTTCAGCACATGTTGTTAAAGCAATGTTGACATGCATGGTAGCAATCTATGGACATGTAGCACGCAAAGCTGCAGGAGTGGTATTACATCACTGCAATCAGTGAAAACAAGGGTGCTTATCGCCAACTGGACTCACCAAATTTATGGTAAGGATGTGTTATCACAAAATAGGACAAGGGCCAGTTGGGCATTGGCAGAATGCAAGGGGGTCCTTGAACCTAGTTGAAGTAGCCATGGACAATCTGCTGTGACGCACCAAAGATGAATTCCATTTTGATCCACCACCTTTTCGAAAAGACCGTTTTTGAGAAAACACAAAAGACAAGCAAAAGAATCCTCAAAATGCCTAATAGTTTCAACAAACACTTTTAAGAACCCTACACAAGCGCTTACACCCCTCCACCAAAATATTGACATCATAGTACGCAAAACTCAATCTCAAGCAATTCTGACACGTATCCCCTTTGAGCGAAAACTCTGCGCCGGGTTTAAAGCTCACGCGTTCCTTGACGAGTGATGAAAATACTGGGTTTGCAGTGGTAGACGAGGAAAAGAGGGCCTGTTTCAGTTGCGTTGTGTTAATGTGCGGAGGAAGGGTGATCCAGATAAAGTAACCGCCTTTGGGGGGGACAAAGTGGGCCGTAGGAGGGAGATGGGTTTGGAGGGTAGTAATCATGGCGTTCATGCGTGTTGCGTAAGTGGTGCGGAGGGAGACAAGGTTTTGAGAAAAGTGAGAGGTTTGAAGAAGAGAGGTGAGAAGGCCGGTTGTCAGGTGGTTTGGTGAACCGCCTAGTGACAATGGTTGAGATATTACGGTTTGGCATGGTACGAGTCGTGTTGGTTGCTTACCACTGTACATGACACCCGACCCCGCCAGCCGGTTAATGATGCCCGTCGCAGCCTCTATCCAACCCACGCGAACACCCGGGGCAAATATTTTGCTAAAACTGCAGTTGGAAATCACGTTGCCCGAGCCTTTTAGATCATCATAAGCGACCACCCGCTTTGTAGGCGGTGTCGTAGGGTCGTAGTGCAATAGGTTATATACATCGTCGCAGACAACCAAGACATTATGTTTGCGGGCCAACTTGACTAGTTGTTCGCGTCGTGTGCTGATAAGCGTTGATCCTGTTGGATTGTTGTGATTAGGGACAAGGTAGAGAAGGTACGGGTACCGTCCCGGGGGACACGTGTCGTCCGATTGCGTGGACGAGAGTCTGGAGAGGGTTTCCGCAACGGCGTCAACCTGGAGTCCGTGTTCGTCGGTTGGGATGGGGATCAAGCGGTCGCCAGAGAAACCATGGTCAGCGAGCATGCGAATAGCAAGAAAGTACGTTGGGTCTTCGACCAGGAAAATGGTTTTGGAGTAGGTAAAGAGTGTAATGATACTGTGAATAGTCAGGGTCAGACATGAATAAATGAGGGAATTCCAAGCGTACACACACTCACTTGAAAAACGACTGCGTGGCTCCACTCGTCACAGCCAAATTCTCATAGTTCACTGGTACATCAGCATACTCTTTGGTCAAAAACTTTGCCAACTAAAAAAAAAAAAAAACAGGTCGGGTAGAGTTTATCTTGTCATTGAGGGAGGACAAGGACACTCCTCACCTCCACTCGAAATTCCTTATCCCCCAAAACGGGACCATATTGCAATGCATGGTCCGCATCATCGCGAGCAAACCGTGTCTGAGCTGCGATGGGTATCAACTTTACTGGAAGGAGGTCAGGCCCTGGTGCGCCATAGTCAAACGATATGAGCGTCGGGTCGTCTGTGATAATCCCATTAGCATGTGGCATAAATGATCAAGACGACGAGCGGAAGCCGGTACCTGTCGGAAAGAGAGTCGCATCTTCTTTAGAGTACTTTGCTTGAGCCATGTCCAAAATACAAGAAGTTGGAACACTTTCGATCTTATCTATTGCAGCATGACGTGAGCATTTGTGCACAGTCACTCTAATTAATGTTTGTCATGAGAGCCCCCCCAACGGCGCGCCACGTCAACCAAGTGTTCCCTGCAAGGAAGCGTTTTTGATCTCTTTTTTAAAGCATTGAATTTCATCCAAGAGATTTTAGCGAGGGTTTTATCCTTTGGTATGTAAGTGTCCATGTGAGAGTGGGCTTGTTTTGTTGTATCTTGCGGATTGCTTACTGGTACGGGTCTTTAGATCTCTTTCTATTTTCCCCTGAGCGGATTTGCGTCACTCCTGTTGTTAATAGCGCTACATTGTGACAGTATATATTTGTATTTTAGGTACGTTGATAAATGTGTTTATTGTGTGTGAGTGGAGGTTTTGCAGGCGGTAGACTGTGTGGGCAAGGGGGACATACTGCTCACTGACACTGATTTCGTTTTGCTCTTTCATCTAGATATTTAGCTAAACGTGTTCTTTAGCGACCATTACGATCTCGTACATCTTTCATTGAGGATATAGTCTATTTGTCAACAACATTTCGCCATATTACGTCTATCGAATTTCTGTTAAATGTCTTTTGGGGATTTGGAAAAGGGCGCTCCCAGGGCATATAATGTTCCATGGGGGGACGTCACCTCTTCATCGTTCTCCAACGGTAAGTTCCACCGGTCTACAATACCATACACAAACGCATAATGTCTGACGTGAATAGTAGACTCCGCCCAAGATTCCACCACCTTTGACCGCGCCTCCCACACCATCTTCACCATCTCCAATAATGTCGCAACGATCCAAAAGCTCGTTTCCCAATTCGGCACACCAAAGGACACGCACGACATGCGAACGCGGTTACACTCCCTAACAGAAAACACCCGCGACATGGTCCGTCAAACTGGTGCAGATCTCAAAGCCCTCCTAGGACGCCCACACCAACCCCAAACCCTCCGCGACCGGCAAAGAAAAATGGCGCACCAAAAACTCTCAAAGGACTTTGAAAGCGTTTTGAAACGATTCCAAAGTGTTTCGCAAGTAGCTGCTGAAAAGAGTCGGGAGTACGTTACGCTTGCTCGAGCTGTCCAAGCTCACGACGAACACCATGACGACGACCAAGAAGACTCTGAATCCCAACCTCTCATGTCTCGACAGCGGGAACAGCTTGCAATGTTGGATAATGAGATTGAGTTTAATGAAGCGTTGATTGCGGAGCGTGAAGAGGATCTGAAGGGGATTGAGCAGAGTATTGCGGAAGTGAATGAGATTTTTAGGGATTTGGGGACATTGGTGCATGAGCAGCAGTATATGCTTGGTAAGTTTTTTGTCTTACTAAAGTTTTGCTCAAGTTTAATCACTTTTTTTTTGATGTTTTAGATAATATTGAATCTAATGTCCAATCCGTTGAAATCAACATGGAGAATGCAACAGGGGAATTACGTACTGCGGATCGATACCAACGTGCATCGCGAAACAAGTTGTGTTGTGTGATGGTTGTGGTGGCGATGATTGTTTTGGTACTGGTTTTGGTGATTGTTACTTAGGAGTTAGATGCCCTACTCTTTAGATTTCTTTTTTTGTGCATGTGAGTATGTGATGTATAGTGTTTTTTTTTGGTGGTGTGGTTGCGCGAAAAGGAAAAGATATGTGATTCATTTGAATGTTCCATTTTTTGTTGGGTACCCGTTTATTTCCTGGCCTGGGCGGAGTGCAATACTGGAAGAACATGTAAACTTTCGTTCTGTCAATACAGTGTGCGCAGCAACAATGTAAAAGACGTATTCTCGTATTCGTCATCCTCAACTAGACATGCTTATTAGTCAATTTACGCAAAAAGTAAAAAAAAAAAGACCACGTTCTATCGATACATATTAACATCATTTTCCCGGCCCAAAATCAAGCAACCCTAAGCCAAACTATGCACACGGATTCCCCAACCCAAAAAGGTACCATCTGCCAACCATTTACCATTTTTCACAATTATTTAAATAAACACATTACGCTGACGCAGAAACCATACCCGCAAACACGCCTCCACGCTTCACCAACACCCCCGGCTCATCAAACTCGACCACCCGCCCCTTGTCAAGCACCAAAACCCGATCATAATCCAAAACCGTTCCAACACGATGCGCAATACACAAAATCGTACAATCCCTAAACGCCCGTCTCAACAATTTTTGAATCAACGCATCCGTTTCTAAATCCACATTCGCGGTCGCTTCATCCATTATCAAGATTTTGGGGTGCCGGAGCAGTGCACGGGCCAGACACACTAATTGGCGTTGACCTACTGAAAGGTTTTCGCCGGATGTGTCAATACGCGTATCAAGCCCTTGTCGAGCGGAGAAAAAGGGGGTGAGGGACGCTAGTGAGAGGGCATCATGGAGTTGGGTGTCAGTGTAAAGAGAAAAGGGGTCAAGGTTTGTGCGGAGTGTGCTGGAAAAGAGTGTAGGGTCTTGTGGGATGATGGTTAACCCCCGACGTAAGGAAGCGAGTGGGAGGGTGTGAATTGGGATGGAATCAAGTGTGATAGTTCCTGTACAGGGTTCGATGATCCGGAATAGAGAGGATACGAGGGTGGATTTACCGGATCCCGTTCGTCCTACGATACCGATTTTGGAGGCGTGCGGGATGTGGAGGGATGGGATGTGGAGGACGGGGGGTTGGTTTGGGTAGCGGAGGGTGAGGTTGGTCAGAGTCAGAGTACCGGTTGTGGGCCAGGTCGGGGGTGGAGGTGTGGGTGGGGTGTGGGACACGATCGTTATGGAGGGCGTGCCGTCGGGAGTAGCCTTGGACGTTACGCCGTGGGTAACCCCGTCGATAACATTGGCACTACCACCGGCAGGACCATCAAAAAAGTCGGTGGGCGGCGGAGGAGGAGGGGGAACAGGCTCAACTTCAATCTGATACGCATAAAACTCTATCCGCTCCACAGCATTCATAGCAATCTCCGTCTCTGTAAACTGCCGTACACCCCAATTCAACGTCTGCGTCACCTGTAACGCATAACTCAAACTCAATCCCAAAAGCGCCGGAGAGAGTGCATCATTATCTCGATTCAGTAACCCAAATAAACCCGCAAAAAACACGAGGACTGCACCGAGGGATTCTAAACGGACTCCTAACCATCGTTGTGCGGCAACTAATAAAAACGTTGGGGCATTATTCGTGTTGATCATGGTGTCTGTTTGGGATATGAAGCGGGCTTGTTCGCCGTAGGCTCGGATGGAGGGCGCGCCATGGAGTGTTTCGCCAAAGTGGGCATAAAGTGGACTTCGGGTCGTCGAATCGAGGCGTTTGAGTTCGCGAGACGTTGCGCGATAGATTTTTTGGAGGAGGTAATAAATGCCGAGAATGGGTACAAGCGGGATGATGAAGAAGGGCGTTGCGTAAACGATGAGTACAAAAGTAGATACAGCAACCGCAAACGTGTTGATAAACGTTCGAAAAGAATCCGAAAGGGTCGTATCGATCGTGTCCGTGTCTTTTGAGAAGCGGTTAATGATGCGGCCTAGCGGTGTCGAATCGAAAAATGATACGGGAGATTGAAGGATACGGGAAAGGGCTGCAGCATGAAGGGTCCGTGAGGCCCGTGTTCCAAATAAAGCGAAAAAGAGACCAAAGAGGTAGAGGGATAGAGTTTGAAAGATGCCCCAGGCCCAGTAGATCCCGACGTAGGTCTTGGTCGTGAATGATGGAATACGATCATTGGTCCATATCACGAGCCAAAAGTCGGTGCCAACGCGTGCGGATTGGATAATGACGAGGAGGACGAGGAGCGGGAGCGTAAAGGAGAGACCACCGGCGGCTTTTACATAGGAGAGCCAGACGCGAGTGTCGACGCTTCCTGTTGCGCGGTCTTCGGTTGTCATGAGGGTGTGTGGGACGTGGGTGCGTGTGATGATGGCTTTGATGCGTGCGAGCGTTGCTTCTTCGGAGGTGTCTGGTGTTGCCGTTTCATCTAGTGTTGTAAAGTCCTCTACAGTTGGTTTTTCTTTTTGTTCTGCAGGGCTCAAGTTGTCGCCTAGTGTTGCATTTTCATCCGCTTGCACAAGAGTATTTACGCGTTGATCCCTACTGCCATCATGTCCAGCATCGTCCTCCACTTTGCCCTCATCGCCGACTACCTTGTCATCCAACCCTCCAAAAGCCTTCATGAGCCTAGCCATCTCCCCCTCCTTCTTCATCAACTCCTCAAACCCGCCGACCTCAACCACGCGTCCCTCGTTCATAACAACTACCATATCACACCTCGGCAAAACCCTTAACTGATGGGTCACCAACACCCTCGTCTTCCCCTTCAAGGCCCCTAAAATACACTTTTCAAACAAATGTGCACCGACGTGCGCGTCTACAGCCGATAGTGGGTCGTCGAGGAGAATGATATCCGAGTCGAGATAGATGCATCGCGCGAGGTTGAGGCGTTGTTTTTGGCCGCCTGAGAGTGTGATGCCTCGTTCACCGATCTGAGTCATGTCGGCGTTGGGGAGGAGGGACAGGTCCGGTTCCAGGGCGCAAGCATGCAAGGCGTGAATGTATTTTGTTTGGTCAAAGGGACGGGAAAAGGTAATGTTGTTTCGGAGGGTTGTGTTGAGGATCCAAGGTTGTTGGGGGCAGTAGCCGAGTTTGCCAGAGTACTGAATAGTGCCGGATGTGCGGCGCATTTCGCTGATCAGAGCGTTGAGGAGGGAGGATTTACCGGAGCCGACGGGGCCAATGATGGCGATGAGGGCGCCTTTAGGGAGTGTGAGATTGATGTTCTGAAGCGTTCCTGGGAGTGGATGACGAGGTTGTATGGTATTGAGATGGATATCCCCCGTTGTGGTGCCCTGCTCATTGCTGATTTTGCGATCGTTTGCTTGCTGCTTTGCGGCATTATCCTCATCATCACCCTCCTTTTTGGTGGTTTTGTGCCCACCATCATCCAGAGTGGTCTTGTCGTACTTGGTAGCATCATCATCACCCTGTTTCTTGGCATCATGACCACCATCTTTCACAGCGCTCTTGGCCCCCTTGGTAGCATCGTCACCCCCCTCCCAAACAAAACATCCATCCACGACCCTCACCGCAATCTCCTCATCCTCAACGACTCCCGGGAACACATCCAGTTCATCTGCAAGTAACAACCCCTTGATCCTCCCCAAGGCAACCCTAAAATCGACCAGCGCAACCATTCCCTGCGGCAGAAACATGAGTGGAAACCTCAACTGGCCAAACCACGTTAACGCCGGAAAGATTTCACTAGCGTCCAAGGGATGCGTCAAGGCATAAATAATAATGGAGAGGGAGGCGGAGAGGATGGGGATGCCGAATGCAATGGCGAGGACAAGAGAGGAGAGCGTTGCGCGGTGAAGGAGTTGATTGATTTCCTTTTCGCGAACGGAAGATATTTTAGATAGGAACGACTCTTCCCATGCAAAGTACTTTATCAGACGAATTCCCGTGAGGATCTCTTGAGTGAGTTTGACGCGGGTGTCTGTAATGGGGGCAATGGTTTTGCGGATGACGGCGAGTTTGCGCATGATCCGGGTTTGGAGGGGGGCAACGAGGAGGAGGAGGCCGATGCCTGCAAGTGCCGATGGACCCAGTTGGGTGATAAGCAAGATGGAAATGGTGAGAATTTGAAGAGGGGCAGTCCACATAACGTGGAGAAACTGAAGAAAAAAGTCGATGCGTTGGGTGTCGGTTGAAACGATGGTCATAACTTTGCCGGGGTTGAAATCTTGTCTGGCTGCCGAAGAGAGGCGGAGGGTTTTGCGGTAGATGGCGGCGGTCAGAGCTGCGCGCACTGACATACCTTCGCTGCCAGCTACTTGGAAATAGTAGTTGTTGAGCAGGGAGCCAATCATTTGGAGAACAAAGAGGCCGATCACGTATCCGAATCTGTGTAAAAGAGATGATTGTTGGCTTCCTGTCCTTTTAAGCCCCTTTGGCACTACCTTTAACAACACCGAAATCCATTTCCTTGTACGAATGTGACCATAGATGCATCCCCGGAAACACACACGCCCAGATCCAAAGCAAACCACACAGGAACAAATGCCCCATTTTATTCCAAATACACTCACCCTTCAGCCAACGGTGGGAGTTTGGCCTCTGTCCCATGCTCCCGATTCTCATCAGCAATAGACTTGCTGGCAGCGACAAACTTTAGAATATATTTGACCATAAAGGGGGAAAAGATTAGGGCAAAGTCGCCAAGGCATTTGGCGATACCGATTGGAGCAAGTCTCCAGAACCACGCTCTTCTCATTGCCCCTAAGAATGAGATGAGGTGATGATGAATAGATGAACAGAAGAAAACTTTATGCAAGTCCGTACTGTACACATGGATGAACCCATTCAACACACAAGTAAATGACTCCACTACTCACGCCACAAGCTCGGCTGGATGGACGTTGAAGGTTGTTGAGATGTGATTAAATCTCCCCGTGAACTTCCATCCATACTCTGTTCCTGATGGCTCCATCCGACCTTTACTAATTCCTCTTTCCAGGCATCATCGAGCAAGCGATGAACATGCTCTACTTTATAGGTTGGCCCCAATTCCCAGATATCGTTGTGATCGAGAGGGCGTTGCCAACCCACGTAAAAAACGGGATTGAGCCAGGTGTACGAGAGACGGCTCCAAAGGGATGCAGTGGATTGAGGGCATGTGTGGGTGTGGCCCCAGTTTTTTGGAAGTTTGCGGCCTTTTTTCAAGGGCGCTGGTGATTCTTGATCACTGATATGGATCTTGTCGCTATCCTCCTCTTTTGGTGTCTCGGCCATCCTGCTGAATACTAAGGAAATGGAATTATGGGCAGTTCAAGCTCAAGGAGGAAGGAAAGTCTAAAAAATCAGCAGGACGGGCAAGGAAGAAAACGAAACCAACTAGTGTTTTTGTAAAAGACTGCCGATGGTGCGCAGTCATGTTCGATATTTGTCATCATCTGTTGCGCCGTGTTCCAAAACGTCCAAAATTGGGGACAGATAAGAGAAGACAAAAAAGACAAACACACAAGAAAATGACAAACTTACAACTGGGCATCCCAAAAGTGCGATTGATCAATAGGTGTGTTCTACATGCAGAATGCATATCTGTGTATGCATATCCATATCTGTGTGTGTGCTGCAAAGTGTTATGCATGCAAGTACCGTTGAAAGGTGAAAGTGTTCCAAAAGTGTGAAACACGTGACAAGTGTGAAATTCCTTCCCCTCCTTCTTCTTCTTGAAGAGTCCGCTTGGAGACCAGTTGGAAATCCCCTTCATTCACTGCTGCTCATGTCAATAAAAAGCATTCCAAATGACATACAAAAAACAAAATGGAAAGCAGCTCTTTCATTTCACACACTCGCAATACCAGTATCAGCTGTCATTGCACATTGGAAATTCCACATGGATGAACCTATATGAATAGCAATCATCAACGGCCATCAGATGATCAACTTGTCTGAATGGGGCATCCCACATTCTTACGCATTTTTTGCTCCTTGTTGCTTATCTATGCAAATGCAAAAACTGTGCATAGCTTTTACGGATCTGCCCTTCCATCACACGACGTTGGTGGATTGCATCATCACATTCCAATCATACTCTATTGCATTCCATCCAGACATCAACAATGCGCATCATTCAACCCTCTTGAACTTTCTCTCATCATCACCAAACACATTTCATCTTGCTTCTTTTCCATTTAGTTTTACGTGATTATTGCACGCAGGCACATTTCGTATCGTTCACGACGATATTCTCTCGTAAGGTATGGTTTCATTGAAATTGGTAAAAATAGTCCTCGGAACGGCTCAAGAAGTGACTGTGTGTCTTTTCCTCCAATAGGATTTTAAAGACTCAGTGAGTGTGTGAGTCGTTGACAGGAAATACGCACGCACACATTGCCATCTCCCTCTCTCCCCCATCTCGCTTACGGGAAATAACAACTTCTTATTTTGATAAAAGACGGACACAGACGCTCAACACAGTTCAACAGCTAGAACACTTCCCACAGACGATAGTAAGCGTAAAAAGATATTCGACATGGTCCCGCCTAGTCCAGTCTCCACTGGCGAGCATTCCCTTCCTGTCGCATCCGTCACCACAGTTCACGTAGAACCCCGTATCGATCCTTCCTCTACCAGAAGGCAGAGACTCTTGCAAGACCCCCCTAAACGTCAGGAAAATATTCACATTGAAGAGGAACTCCATTATGAGGATCGGGATCACAGATTCGCGCATGGTCATGGGGAGAGCCCCGATACTTTTACTCTCCAGAGAAACAGAACCCTTTCCATTGTATGCTTGAGTGTTTTGCGTTTGACTAGTAATGTCTAGATACTTATTTCATGGAAAGTCCCATACAAATCTCTTTGCAGAGGCTGAAAAGCCCAGGACACTCGGAGACGATCGCGCGTTTAGACGGAGACGACGCGGTTCGCATGATGAAAAAGTGGTTGGAAAGGCGAGAAAGTTTTTGATTGATGTGGAAGAGACTCAGCGTAAGTGTTTTATACTCCTTGCGAGAGTGACAGTGAGCGAGCGAGCAAGGTGGTGGCAGGTGATGGCGAGCGAGCTAGGAAACAGCGTGAAAGAGCCCGCTAAACTCTCGCGCTTGGTACCCGCCCAGCGACAAAAAGAAGGAGACACGAGTGAGCACAGTTAGAGGCACCACAACAAACGCATCCGCCCTACAAACAGAGCCTGGACATGGCTGTCGCCATATACATGCACTTACTTTTAAACAAACAAGAGTGTGCTGGATCAACCTGTCTTTCATAATTGTGCACTGTTTAACCGCACGTCAACCTCAGGGCTCATTCTCGCCCAAGAAGACACGGACGGAGACTTTCAAATTACGGTTCAAGACACTGGCCCCAAATCCTTTCACCTTGGCACAGCGAACTCTAGCGGATTCCGCAAGTACGAGATCCGTGGAACGTATATGCTCTCAAACCTCTTGCAGGAACTGGCACTTGCGACGGATTATGGAAGGAAATTTATCGTCTTGGATGAGGATCGGTTGAATGAGAATCCGTTGGATCGGCTGAGTCGGTTGATAAAGTACCATTTCTGGGACGGTTTGACACGGCGGATTGATGCTGAAGGTAAATCGCAAAGGCAAAATACCGATGCATATCTTTTGATGCGCAGGTGTTGTTTTCACGCATGGATATGGGTGCTGATTTTAGATTCCTTGAATTGTTGACAGGTCTCGAAATCATTTGCAACGACCCAAAGAATCGTTCACAGGACCAGAGACCACGCGTCTATGTCCCCTACCACGACGACCTGGCCATGGAATACTACACGCAGGTCGCAGCATCCCGCCCCCACCTGAACCTCGACATTGTTCGCCTCCCAGAAATCATTTCTCCGCGGTACGTTAAATCCTTAAACCAGCACCCCGGCATTCTCTCCCTGGGACTGCGCAAAACGGTTGACCCGCGCAGTGGTAAAACCCAAATTCGTGGGACGCCCTTTGTGGTTCCAGGCGGACGGTTTAATGAGATGTATGGCTGGGACAGTTACTTTGAAGCGCTGGGACTCTTGGTGGACGGCCGTATTGAATTGGCGCGAGGAATGGTGGAAAACTTTAATTACGAGATTGAGCACTATGGCAAGATTCTCAATGCCAACCGATCGTATTACCTGACGCGCTCCCAACCCCCGTTCTTGACGGACATGATTGCCGAGGTTGCGAAGCGCTTACCTGAAAAGGGATGGACACCTCCTGAACTCAAGGTATGGCTCGCGCAAGGTTATCGCGCGGCCATCAAGGAACTCTTGAGTGTATGGATGGCCAGTCCGCGGTTGGACCCTGTGGTTGGTTTATGCAAGTTCCATCCTGAAGGCATCGGCATGCCCCCTGAAACGGAGGCATCGCACTTTAACCATATTTTGGAACCGTATGCGGAAAAGGCGGGCGTGTCATTGGAAGAGTACATGCGTATGTATAATGAGGATATTATTCAGGAACCGGAGCTGGATTTGTATTTTGTGCATGATCGGGCTGGTATGTGCGGCGCTTTTTCTTTTCTTTTTTTTTTTCTTGATGGTTGTGTGACTGTAGCATTGTTTATTTTAATGATGAATAGTACGTGAGAGTGGGCACGATACCACATACCGGTTTGAAAAACGCTGTGCCAATCTGGCGACGATCGACCTCAACAGTCTGGTATACAAATACCAGATCGATCTTGCACATGTGATCCAGGACGATTTCGGAGGCCAGTTCAAACTCCGTGTGCGACGCGGTCCCGATAATGTCTTTTTGAACGGGTTCTTGTCGTGGGTTGAGAATTTACGGGCCAAGGGTGTGGACGGGTCGATTGGTAACAATGGTGGATGGGAGACGGGGTGGGCAAAGGGTATCATGGTCTGTGATGATGAGATGGACGCCGAGTACCGGCAGTGGGTCCAAGATGGGAGTGTTCCGCACCCTACCTCTGAGACGGACAGCGAAGTTCCGACCTACACCCTCCCCCCCGACGCACCGTACTTTTACGTTACGTTTACACCCCGCCTTTTTTCGCTCCTCTCTCGTCGGATGCACACCTTGATTGACACGTACCTCTGGAACCCGACGCAGAGCCTCTACTACGACTGGGACTGCGCTACGATGGAGCAATCCGTTTATGAAACTGTAACCTGTCTCTGGGCCCTCTGGGCCGGATGTGCCTCCGAAGCCCAAGCCAACGCCATGGTTCCGCGCGCACTCGAACTTTTTGAAGTCTTTGGCGGACTTGTCTCTGGTACGGAAGAATCCCGTGGCCGTATTGGACTGGACCGTCCGAACCGACAATGGGATTACCCTTACGGATGGGCCCCGCATCAAATCCTTGCCTGGCCGGGTCTTGTTCGTTATGGTTTTACGACTGAAGCTCGCCGTGTAGCGTACCGGTGGATGTACACCATTACGAAATCCTTTGTTGATTTCAATGGTGTCGTTCCGGAGAAATTTGATGTGGTGCATTTGACGCATAAAGTGAATGTTGAGTATGGGAATGTGGGTGCTGATTTCAGGTTTGTGGTTCGGGAGGGGTTTGGGTGGATGAACGCTAGTTTTCAGGTTTGTATTTTTTATTTCGTGGTGTCCTCATTTTATCGTCACGTTGATGGTTTTTGTTAACTGTTGCTTTTGTAGTTGGGTCTATCGTACCTTACGAAAAATATGCGGCGCGCGTTGGGAACTTTGACGCCTCCTGAGCAGATGTTTGGACAGGCTGTTATTGGCTTGGGTGTTGGGTAGAATATGAGATTATGACATGGGACTCTCGTTGCATGTGGATTGGTGTGGGCGAGTTTTCTTTCTGTGTGTTTTAGAATGTCTACGATGGAGAGGCTTTCTTTCTTTGAAACTTTTGTGAAAGTGAGAGTTTACTGCTTGAACAGTGCCTTAGGGGTGCACCACTGCACTACGGTCGTTTCTCGAAAGGGCAATGGGTACATGTATGCCATACATTTTCACACACGATTAGGACAATGAGAGCGATGGGTAGATCCTAGTCCAAATGAACGAAAATATTTCACAACTCCAACTCTAACCCTTTTATATGATGGATTTGGCGTTGGAAAGAGATGTTGTGTCAAACGAGAAGTTGTAAATCGATCGTTCAAGTCCAACTATGCTGAACGGTTCTTCATAACCTTGTCATGCAGATAAGGACAGATACATCTACAGGTTTAGATGATCCGTATTGGTTGCTCAGCTCATCACCTGTGAACGAATTGGTGTATATTGCACATGTCTGGTTGGACAGCGTCTTTTGTTGACAGTCCAGGATCCAAGGTTGTCTATCTTTTCCATAGGCCATTCGTGGAATGCCAGAATACATCATAACCATAAAAAAAAAACGAACATATCGAAAAGAATCACACAGCGAATGTACAGATTAAACAAAAACATAGCATACAAAGCAAATAAATCGTTCACTCACATATCGAAAAAGTATTCCAACTTTTTTTACAATCCCACGAGTGTTTTGATCAACAAACACCCACTACCCAAACACACGCATCACCATATACCCTCCCTGGACGCGGCGAATACGAACCGTACGTCCTTGTGGTAATATGACTCGTCGGAGGAGTATCCGATACCCTCCCACTCGATTTGAGTCTCGACAATTTGAACCTAGAGGCCCACAAAACGAGACAGCAAACATTTTACTCCCTCTCTTCCATTGGAAAAGCATCTTCTCTAACAAACACTTACCTCCACCCCTGTCGCTGCGTATACGGCGGGGGAGGAACGTATCTTGGTGGCGGATCATCGTATTCCGTGCGCGGTGTGTACGGTGGGAGAGGTTGCGATGATTGGGTGGTTGAGATGGATGTGGAAGGGGTATGAGGAGGTGTTGAGACGAGGCGGCGAAGGACCGTACGACTGAGCGTTGCCATTGAGGTTCCGAGTTCGGTGTAGAGGGATTCGGATATGAGGGCCATTTTTTTGTATGTGTATATGTATGGGGAGGTTTTTGTCTTTATGATTTTATATTCCTGTTGCTTGCTTGTTCAAAAGGCTTGCTTGAAAAAAGAAGCTGAACTTGTAAACAGTCTCCCCAACCTCTACAAAAAAAAACACACATCCAGAAACAACAATAACAACAAAGGGAACACACACATCACGACACCCTCTCTCTGGAGGGACCCTCCTTTTACCACCAACCCATGCTGCTGCTTGTACAAAACTGAAAGGAAAACGTACCACACATTGCACACTGGCACACTTTTGCACACATAATAACACCCTCACAAGATCATTACATAACACGCGATACAACACGTGAGGTGGGGGTGTGTGATGTGTTATTTGTTTAATTAATAGGGTTTCTTCCATTTTGTTTTCTTGTGTTTTTATTTGGGTTTTTCTTTGTATTTTGACTTTAACAGCAGCCAGTTTTGGGGGAATTCTGTTCTGTAGTTGGTTTTATGGTTGTTTTGTTTTAGAGTATTGTTTAATATGGCTGGTATTTGGCTCACCCAACCTAGTAAAGCAGCAGGTGGAGAATGGGCTTTTGATACAGATATGGTGGGATGTTGCATTTCTCGTTTTTTTTTGATTGTTTTCGCATGTCCATTTGTGGGTCTTGGTTGTGGTTTCTTGGAATATTGCCTTGTTTCTCATCGTCCGTATGTGTGTTGCTTCGGGCGTGTTGGCACGTCGTATCCTAACATGACATGGGATCAGATGGCACCTGTGACGTGATCCATCATGCCAAACACAACGACAAGACCTTTATATTTCTAGATTCAAACACATCATGAGGCTGTCAAACGTCCGATTTTCGAGAAATTTAATCAAGCATAGTGAGAACCAGGCATATTAAAAAGTCAACAGAAGCGCATAATGGCCTATAAATGGCTAACTAGCTAACAACAATCTATATCAATACTATCAAAATATGTCGTGACGATTATCCAACGAGTCATAGTGTCTCTGCAGCTTCTATTCATCAATGGTGGATTGAAAAGAAGCTTTTCGTGTCAATGCACTTGACCCTACTACCAATGCTTGAGAAGGAGGTACCGAAGCCACAACACTCCCACGTCGACTTATCCTCTCTTGCTCTTGCCATGCCTCTATAAGCTGTTTACGGAGATTCCTTACTTCTTGTCTGAGTCGCTCACATTCTTCTGCACCTTCGATAGATCGCAAGCGGGCGTTTTCTTCTCGTAACTCTTCGATTTCCGCTTTCGAGCGTTCTAATTCGCGACGGAGAGTTTTGAGTTCGGCGGCTAGGGATGCTGGATGGTTCGTTGGTGTCGATGGACGGTAGGGAGAGGACGAAGAAGAGGATACGTAATATTGCTGTACGACCGAGGAAGATAGAGACGAAACGATTTCCTCGCCGTCACCTGCAATCACGGTTGGGATCACCTCGTACTCTTTGACCATATTGTCAGATCCAAATGGGTCGAATCCGCTGGCTGCAAACAGCCGGTCATTGACAACAAAAATGGAGGAAATGGGACCACCGGTATCTGGAGATCGGTACGTTCTCACGAGATGCCCGGTATTGGCATCCCATTCGCGAACACGTTGATCCCATCCTCCTGCAAATACCCTTCCGCCATCGACGAACACAGACAAGAGCCCACATTCGCCCCCGTACGCTCGAATGGCTTCACCAGTCGTGACGTCCCACTCGCGCACCGTTCGATCTTCTGACGCAGAAAACAGTCGAGGACCTTGGACAAAGATGCCCGTGACACGATGGGCATGACCTTGATACGTCCGAGCAGGTGAACATGTTTTTGCACCTTTTGATACAGACGTCGCTGGGCCGGCCTCCCACTCCCGAATCGTTCGATCTTCGCCGGCGGTATACAACTTTTCCCCCGCGACAAAAACACTCAGAACCGGTGCATTGTGCCCCACGTACGTGCGCACTAGCTTTCCAGTCCCTAAATCCCATTCTCCGACATACGGCGTCTCACCTTGTCCGCTCCATCCAACCCACGATGCCGCTGCTCCAGCAGCAACATAGGCTACTCCAGTCAATTTTTGGATGGACGACTGGGCTTGAACCGGTAGTTCTACTCCTTGTGGTTGTCCCCCACACCCCACAAAACATCGGTCCAAAGTAACAAATAATGCATTCACACAAAGCCCCACCTCAATCTTTTTTAGAAATGCACCTGTGACCGTATCCCATTCCCGAATACACCCATCTGCCGAGCCGCTGTAGAGTCTTGGCGGAGTGTGTTGGACAAAGAGGGCGAGGACAGGGGATGTGTGCCCAGAGTAGGTACGAGTGCAGGCGCATGTCGTTAAGGAAAACTCTTTTATGGTGTGGTCATGACTGGCGGTGAAAAGGCGGGTCCCCTATTTACCAGAACCGGCGGCCGTTAGTCCTTGTGCCATAAGTGATTCCAAAAAGTTAGAAACCCAAACCTGCACGAATATGGCGTTAATGTGACTGGAATGTCCTTGAAAGACCCGCACCGGATGCTGCACAGGGTCCATTACGGGCAGATGATGGGAAGAGTCTGGTGGTGCCATAAGTGATTCCAAAAAGTTAGAAACCCAAACCTGCACGAATATGGCGTTAATGTGACTGGAATGTCCTTGAAAGACCCGCACCGGATGCTGCACAGGGTCCATTACGGGCAGATGATGGGAAGAGTCTGGTGGCGAGCCCAAAAACCAAGTTCTGCAATCGCTCTTGTCATTTAACCTTTCACGGATGGATGGCACAGTCAAGCAGTGCTGAGTAAGCATTGAATCTCAAGATGATGTCCTTCGAAAGACAACGAAGAGCATGGTCAACTTTTTGAGATTTGGGAAGCCCTCCGCTGCGTTGGGACAGTATCAGCAACAAGTTACAGCCCCCGTAGACTCTTCTCGCGAAATCTCATTGACTGGTAAAGGTTAGAATGTTAATGGACTTATTGCTGTATCAGGACGATGAGCGAATATTCTTTGAGGAGACTACAAATGGACAGAAAGCTGTGCAATCACATGTTATGAAGCACCATATTAGCAGACGAATGGCTTTGTCTTTTAGGAATCCATATCCCTCTGCATGTGCAATTGACGTTTGCGTACGCCCTGTTCGTTGCATAAACTTTTGTTCAAGTATCCATTAATAGCCAACCCATATGGAAGGGTTTTAGCTTTTTGCTATAAATAGCATGAATGACAAAAGATCTGCGTACTGTTTCGAGAACAATGTTTGCGGTCTTGAGGATAACGATCGAAAGGCACAAATAGCCTTCAAGTCAAAGTCATTTTGTCGCACTGCTAAATATTCGGGAATGGATCAATTTAGGAGAACCCCTCGGAATACAATGTCCGATGGAACCCTTAATGTTTTCCTCAATAAATGATGGAGAAACTTTGTTTATGATGGCGGCTGTAAACAACAAGACTAAAAGACCTGGTATTTATGCATTTCGGACGGAAGTGACAGCTTCTACCAATTTGCACCGCCTGTTAACTTTGCACGACCAGGCGGTGACAGCCGTTTGGCGATACTTTAAAAGCTCTTTTTTCTTTAATTGCCCATGCTACTAAGTATCTGCAAGAGGTGCGCGCACTCTTAATTGCCATTGAAATGAGTGAAAGAACGGGATGGAAACAACCCACGTCGAGCAGTAGTAGTGGTATCGGACGATGTAACCTACGAGTATGGGCAACATTGGCCCTCCTAGTCCTGCAATTCGGGGTTTCGACCAGCGGTCTCTGCATGCACAATACGAGGAATAATGATGTTTTGACTTTAACGGAGCCATATGGATTTTTTTGGATGTGGGTTTGAAGGAAATAGGTTTCGCACACTTATCTTTGAACTGATTGAAACTTTGTTGCCCATATCAGTACCGACGGCATAGACGAATATGCCGCGGATGCCAACTGCTCCATCCTCATTGCCCCAGTCTGGGATCAGCCGATTACCGGCATCGCCATTGACTACATTACCGTCGAAACCGAAGCCTGCTGCGACCACGCTTATACGTATGCGGGCGACACTCTTGATGCTCCGGAAGTTGGCCGACATAATGGAACAGTCACCACACAGCTGCAGGTCAACGGGTCGACAGCATTTTTCAATTTTCAGTCAGATGGATCTGTCCAGCGGGATGGAATCATCGCTTTTTATCACATCTTAGATATACCCGACAATGAAATACCTTGGGTGAACATCTCGTGCCCTTTTGATTGCTACGGACGCGGCCAATGCGTTGATGGAAAATGCGTCTGTGAAGAAGGATATACCGGGGGACTGTGCAAGAACGATGACAATCGCAAGGTACTTCATATCAACATTCACACTTGCATATTGAGATCTCTGCGTAACGGGCTCGATTTCAGTTATTTGCTCTGTACGACAACTGCCAGGGAGATCACTGGCAGGCAAACTGGGATCGGACATATCAATCAAATATTTGCAACTTTACAGATTGGTCGGAATATACCATTGTTTCTACCTGGACAGGTAATATCAAACTACGGAAGCAGAGGGGCTATTGCTGATGGAGCAGAAATGCTAAGTCGGTCTTCTGACCCTTCAAACAGGCATTTCATGCGCGAACGGTCGAGTCAGCAACTTGGACATGCGAGACACTGGGATGAATTGCACGGGCAACGGGCTACCGAGAGACAGTTTGCCGCGATATTTGGAAACGATTGACTTTACGGGAGAGTTATTGACAGGCACGCTCCCTGGGGACTTGTTTCGAACACCATATTTGAATCAACTCTTTTTATCCAATACAAGACTGGAAGGGGAGTTACCTGCTGAGGTTGGTGACCACCCTTTCTTGAAATCCAGTAACAGCTGTTGACATGTGAGGCGATAGGTTTCATGGGCCACAGCGTTAAACACTCTTCTGTTGCATGACAATAATCTGATCGGGTAAGTTTATAAACAAAAGATGATTATGGATGCATTATTGACGCTGGTCTTTTTCAATTAGCCCTCTCCCAGAAGGTCTAACACGCCTACCTCAACTCAACGAGTTAAACCTGGAAAACAACAATTTCTTTGGTTTTGTCCTGGATGACTTTGCATATTTGCAGCGTGCTATCATCCTCCTCGCTGGAAACCAATTTTTCTGCCCAACGCCCAACATAACTCGCATCCATTCCGTTACATGTAATAACATTAGCCTGACTTCCGTTACCCCCAACACTGCTGTCAGTACCGGCGGGGACACGGTCGTGGTTCGCGGAGTGGGCTTCCACCCCGGTATTCAGATGAGCTGCGTTTTTGGTGGTATCTCGTCGCCGAAAACGGAGGTGGTGGATTGGAACACCATTGTATGTACAGTTCCACCACGTTTGGCAGGTGACACATCGATAGAGATATGGGCCTTTGGTAAAAAGGCTGCCACGAACGGACTGCCTTTTGAGCTTCTCAATGATTGTGCGCCTGGAACATATTTGAGTCCGACGAACATGACTCAATGTCTTGGCTGTCCTGGTAAGTCTATCTAGTCTTAGGAAGCTTGGGTGAATACCACTGACATGCAAACGCTATTATCCCTCTCAGAAGGAGCAATCTGTGAAGGCGGGCAGACCCCTCCGTATCCGAAATATGGCTATCACAAGGCCGCAGAGTAAGACTGATCCTGACAGTAACCTATTGCCACATCATCTCAACTTTTGTCTCTGTCACTGCAGCATGGATGTATTTTTGCCCTGTTTCATTCCATCGGCTTGCCCGTCACGTATGGTACGTTCTGGTATCGCAATCTTCTCACATTGCGTGTTACTGATGGACGTTGCCACGAAAGAACGGCGCCTGCAAAGCGGGTTTTACCGGTCCTCGCTGCAGTCAATGTGAAGAAGGCCTGTTTCTCAAAGGACAAGAGTGCCTTGACTGTACCGGCTCGCGTGGATTGGGGCCTATTCTAATCGTTTCTTTTGGATTTGTGTTATTGAGTGCGTTTGGAATTTGGATGGCTGTTACTGGTATGTGACTGTGATTCCCGTTGCACTGAATCAAAAGCACTGTGAATTGATTATAGAAATTGTACTCCGGATGAACAGATCTCAACCTCTCGTCAGGCACCCTGCTTCTTTTCTTGATTCAAGTATGCACCTAGTTTTGGACATCATATGGAGAGGAATGGCTCATCTCTTATTCTTTCCGTATAAAACAGATTTCTGGACTCATTCTCAAACTCCCAATGCGCTGGCACACTCTGTTTGGACCTCTCCACACCTTTTTGCTCAATGCAAACGTCAACCTCGTATCCCTTGGGCTCAACTGCGCTTTCCGGCTTACATTTGATGAATGGATGAGCCTACTGCTCTGTGTGCCGTTGATTTTCCTGGGAATCATATTGATGATGTGTTTTGCATGGGTTGCTTGGGTGACGCTAAAGGGAGGGAAGTCTGCTATCTGGGCGGTGAGAAGAGCAATAGACACAACCATCAATGCTTCTCTAGCGTTGTCGATTCTGGGTCATGTTCCGCTGGCTGAGCAGTTTGTCGCTGTTTTTGAGTGTGCCACGGATGGTGCGGTGATCTTTGGTTTACGGTGCATGTGCTTTTTCTGCTGTTGCCTGACTTGTTTCTTCATCAACAGTGGAACGCTCTTACATGATTTCGAACCCCCAAGTCAGTTGCTACACCCCTGAATGGTAGCTTATATGCGAAACATGCAAGGATGATGTGCACACTCGCTAATTATGGTCGTACTTCAATAGGAATAACAGCAAAATGAAGGCAATCCTCGGATGCGTTCTCTACGCTGGCGGCATTCCTGTCATGTTATTCTGCCTATCAGTTGCATTTCGGAAACGGCTGAACGACACAAATATTTTACACAGGTTTGGGATCGTCTTTGATTTATATACTGAATCCTCCTGGTGAGTTACCAGTCTTGTCAGCCGCCGTTGCCAACGTCAGAGCTAATAGGTTGCGTTTGTCAATGTATAGGTGGTTTGAACCTTATCGCTCAACGTACGGAATGGTCCTTATGACGATTCCCATGGCATTTGCAAACTATCCGGCGTTCATTGTGACACTTGGACTGGCTGTAATTAACCTGGACAAGTTTGTGGTGAGTGCCAAAGACTTCTTGCTATGGTATTTAAACATGTGGATTTTCGATTTTTAACCTGCTTGTCCTGGCAAGGTTATGCGAGTTTCTCCTTTCCGATTTCCTCACTCTAACCGTATATACAATATGATCATCTGGACACTCAACACGTTGAGCATCGCTGGAATATTGTACTATTCAGAAACTTTGACGGAGAGCCAGCAGCATTTGATTGGAGTAATGGGTGTTGCGTCATTTTCAATATCGTACGTGCAATGTGCAGAATTCGTTATTTCATTTTTTTCTAACATCATTATAGATTAGCGGCAGTTATTCACAGCCTCTTATACGAGTGGCAGCTGCTATGGTACCACGACCTTGTCAAAGTTCCGCTCTTGTCGAGGATCCTCACTAGCCGATTCTACTTGACCCTATTCCCGCGACATCTCACACCTCTAGGAAGACAAGAGACAAAGACCGGGCAAAGGCTTCCCGCGCTGCCTAGACCACCAAAGATTCAAGTGTACCCGCCACTACTGTACGAAAGCGCGGATTCATTGCGCAAACGGAAGGGGATTGAAAATCCAGTTGAGTTGGATATTCAGAGATCTGCGTTGGCTTGCGATATGGGGAAGGAGGCTATAGAGAAGGGGACCCTAGATTGCGAAGCCGGAGAACGGTTAAAAGGTTCTGGGTCCAGCGCTGCGCGATGAGTATTGAGATAGATGGTAGTTGGAATTAGGTATAGAACATACATGCCGCTATGTGTAGCTTTTTTTATTGCTTTGTACAGTTATCGATCAAGGGAAAAATTATGTGTATGTCGACTGTGGTTCATTCACTCTACTTGAAGCAACGTTTTCTACTTGCTAGTAAACAACTCTCCCCTACGTATAGATAAGCCTGCTAATGTTATGTTATTAGCTATATACAACCCTCCTTTGTTCAAACCGCAGTTCTCAAAATTCAACTGGAAATTTGAACATCTCAAACAACTTCTCGGCTGGCGTAGCAAAACTGTATCCTTTTGGAAACATTGGACTAGGAACTCGCACTGTCCCTCTCAAAACCCCGCATACGGCTCCGTACTCGTCAATTACCGGACCTCCGCTAGATCCGGGTTTGATCAGCGTGTTCAGTTCCATGACACTCAAGTCGTCATATGTGCCAGTCTACAACGTAAGACAAGGACAATTCAGGCCAGGACGTGGCAGACGAAAGCTACATTAACTACAAACCTCGGCTTTCGAGCCAATCGCATTTTTGTACATCAACACTTTACAGGCTTCCCACTCGTGATCCGGGTGTATATGCACTTTGAGGTCTGTACCGACTGGTGGTGGGTACGGAGACACAGCAAGAGGTCGGAGTATAACGGAACTGTCGGGGCATGGTGGGCCGAGTTGAAGAACAACCAGATCATGCTCAGGAAGCGACGCTTTGATGTCTTGTACTGCGAGTTTGGTCGACCAAACGTGAGTCGAGAAGCAGAGCACAAGAGCGGGCTAGACACAAACCAGGGTATATTGTCCCATCACTTGTCATAGCAACGCTAGTGCTTTGCGCTTTGGAGTTGGGCGGGACAACAGGCCCTATCTGTTCCGAGACCAATCGAAAAGTCAGGTTTCCCTCACAGATCAAAGCTCACATGTATATCCCTATAGCACCTCATCAAATGTGTGGCAGCAGGTAACCACCACTCCGCCTTCCAGGATCACGAAACCTGTGCTTATTCCAATCCTGGGACCCCGCCCCTTCCAATCTGGGACGACATGGGCAATGAGCACTACGCCATCTGTAGATTGTTGATCCGGCGTTGGTTGATATGGAAGGATTCTATCCATAACCACTCCATGCTTGTCCTCTATTCGATCGAGCAGGCTCGCAAGTGGTGTGGCTGTTTGGAAAGTAAAGCAAGATTGTGCCCCACGCATGAGATGCTCTTGGAGGGCGACGAGCGGGAGACGGCGGTAGTCCGTCGTCAACCTTCGACATTGAGAGATACACTTCACAGGACGGAAAGCGGGTGGTAAACGATTGACAAATCTCATTTGTGACGGAAGCCTTCCAAAATATCCAAGATGAACCTGCGGGTGACGGGCTAACAGCGAAATGATTCACATCCCGATGTGTGACGCGTTACGTTATCAACAAAACAGTGTGCTTTCCTTAAAGGTTTATGTGATATACGATACAGCAAAACAACCTATCAACAGCCATAAACAGCAAAATAAAAGTCATGCAAGCATCGCTTTGACCACCCACAATGTTGAAACCGTCCTGCAAGCTGATACTTAATTTCCAACCATAGATCGCCGTTCCAAAACCATCTTGCAAAAGACCCTGTGCTGCCCCGCCTTGTGCTCGTTCATGCACTCAACAGAGCAGTATTTTGCTACTCCACAGAGTGGACAATGGATCAAAGCATCCAGGTTTGAATTCCACGGTCGGGTTACGATTTCCTCCCCCTCTTGATGAATGACAACCCGCACATGTTGCTGAGAAATCTGCATAATCCGCTTGCATTTTGAATTGGAACAGCTGCAGTCATGCAGAAAGGGGTGCCATTGACTTGGATTTGGGCCTTGTGCAAGAGAATGCGATGCAACCAACTGCAAGCAAGACATTGCAGTTCTGAATTCTCGAGTTTTCGTGGTCTGGCGGGGAGACCAGCAACTCTGCATGTTGACGGCTTCGTTGAGGCGGGCACGGTGACATGTAATTTTCTCGGCCAGATCTTTAATAATGGTGTCAGACGGATCACTTTTTTCAAGGGCAATCTCCAGTTGTGCCGCTTTCAACGCAATCATCCAACATTCTCCGGTTGGAAGGTATTCTGAATGGCCGGGGGCAGTTGCCAGAAACCGGTTAAGCCTGTAAATTCCCTCATTTAGAAAATCGCCTCCCAATCGCGCTAGCGCCTGAAGATCTTGATATTCCCAATCTGCCGATGACGGGCGATTCTGGGAGCAACCGAGCTGCCTGAAACCCTCTCGCATGGCTACGATGGCCAGGCCGAGTTCTGCATCGTACTGATACTTATGTCTGTAACGTCCAACCGGTCCAACTGCATCAATACCCAAAGTGTTACGCAACCAGCGGTTGGGTTTAAGCCACTTGTCCGATGTCACGGCGGCATGAAAGTGCTCCGAAGCAGCGTCAAGATCATCCAGTTCCAGGTGAAAGATGCCGCTCCAAAAGTCAAAGGATCCATATCGGAATGCCGGATGTTTGATATTCTTGCAGTCATAGAGGTTCTCCAGAACATGTAAAATCTGGTTCTTTCGAGTCGGAGGATGCGGGGTCGAAGGGGTGGTCATGAACGCCGAGACGAGCTTGGCGTTGAAGGCAAAAGTGCGTCGCTTATCTTCTTCAATCTCCGCAGAAGTCTTTGTTGGGGCATTTGCTGCTGTAACGGTAGCATCGGGCTGAGTGGAGACTCTAGAGATGGATGGATTGGTAGCAATATCGGATGTTTTGGAGATAGTCGTTTCCCGCGCAGCGTCCAATGTTCTTTGTAATGGTTGAGTCTCACCCGCGGCCGATGTGGTGGTGTCTTGGACTTCGCCTGTCCGCTCATTGTCGTCCCAAGATTTATTCTCCTCTGTGTGATAGTGGATAACTGACACGTCATGCACCATTTCGTTCCATCCGGTACCATCGCCTCCGCCTTCTTCATCGACTCGAAGTTCTAGCAATGCTTCACGAACTTGATTTCGCTTCTTCATTTGCTCAAGAATCTCATTTGTATCAAGTAGATCATCCTCTGAATCCTCTGCCGCCTGATCCTCTTCTCCATAACCCTCCAGTTCCTGCCAGTGGGCGTCCAGAGTTTTAGGATAAATGTCGACCCTGGCTCGCTCAATGCTACAACGGGGTTTGAAGACCGGAACTTGACGTGTTGAAGTATATGCATCTAAAGTAGCTGGTCCCTCTGAGAGTTGTTGCGTCACAAAGCTAGTGAGGAGGTCGTAGTTTTCTACGTAGCTTGGCTCATATGGGTCAAGAACGCGGAACCACTAACAGTTGCGTAAGTCCCATCATATGCGGATCGGCGAATAATATGGTAAACTTCGAACGCACCTTTGTGAGCGCATCTCCGAAAAGCTGCACGCAATACGGATCTCTATTCCGTAAGAGTTTCAGACCTTCATGCCACAGATATACTGCAACCTCGAATCGCTCGGCCTGTTCAACACAGTATAATGAGTATCCGTATAAATCACAAGGCGGTCAATACTTTGGTCCAGATTCCTGGCTGGACACTGGTACATTGAATGTTGCCTAACCTCCTCGTGTTCTTCTACATGAACCTTATGAAATTGCCACACATTATACTGGTAGACATCATTTTCTGCTTGTCTAGTTTTAGTGCACCAATGCCGTGACAAACAAAGCTTGACCGCTACGAACCGAGGAAGGGAACGAATGGCATAGGATGCCGCAACGGGATAGGTGTCATTGCTGTCATATTATTCCAAGCAAAGGTCTGAGAGACTTTATGATCTGGAGGCATTTCTTGCGCCCATCTGACGCGCCAAAGTCTAAATCTCGTTTGTTTCCCCCACACACGCGAGGCTTGTGATATCATGTAGAATAAAGGGCGATGCTTCCACTAGCTGCGTGCTCCCATCTCAATATCATATTATATTTGTAAATTCCACATATGAAACAGTCAAAAACGACTATGCAAGGTCCGACAGATGCAAACTCTCGCGACTAGGCTCCTCTGGTAAATCCTTGGAGAATAAATGGTCTTCCATAGCTTCTTGGGGAGTGACAGCACATATACTCGTAAAAGGGTGGGCATGTGCCCGCGTTTCGTTATACCGGGATCTCTCCACTTTGAACCGTGCACGTCCACGGTGGAATTGCTGTTGTTCCTTCTGTGCTGCTAATAGCCCGCCTTCTAGTACATCTCGATTGTCTCCAGAATCGCTGAGTCCAAAAGCAAACTCGTTCAAATGCTGCCGGAAACGAATGGTCAAGACGCCCAGAAACGAACCTGGCGATTGCATTCTTTCTTCTTTCGTGAAGGGCTCGCTGCTCTACAGCATGTCGCCTTTCATCATCCGCATATTTTTTCCGGTTGGCCAAGTATACATGGGCAAACTATCAAATTGTATGAGTTACCATCTGATGATGCCATTGTGGGTGACCGTAGTGGTAACATCCGGAAAAACATTGTTGATTGTACCTGTTTCTGCTTAAGCTCATCCAAATGCCCAGTGCGGTAGAAGATTCTCAAATTTCGCTCCACTTCTTCCGTCTGGGATGACTTCAATGCACTGGAAGGTGCAGAAGCGTCCTTCAGAAAGTGTTGATCATGGTAATGGTAGCGCACTGTGGGGCGCAACTGCTCCAGCAATTCCGTTGCTACCAGAGAGACGGAGAGGTACCTACCATTAGGATTGGCATTGGCAGTCAAGTTATCAGTACCCGCTCCCAGTTGCACACTGCATCGATGACAACGGCCATGTTGAAATGGCGAGTCGGCTGGACGTAGCAGGTGTCAGCTGGGCGTTTGGTAATGCCTTGTTGAACTCTGCATATTGACAGTGCATACCTACCAGATGCTGGAGAGCTTTCGATTCAAGCTCCTTCTTTTGTTTTGCACGACAACTCAATCGTTCACGTAAACTAGATTCAAAGGCACGACGGTGTTCCAGCTTCCGTATTGCCATATCGTGTGCTCTTTGTGATTCTCGTAAGGCTGTTAACTGATCGGTCGCGAGTTATATTCCCCGCACATCCAAGGGGTTGAATCGAACATGAAAAGTCGCATTATCTTACATGAGCGTCAGCCTCCCCCCAAACGCGCGAAGCCGACTGTCGCTTGTCAAGTTCACCGTTCATTCTCTTCGCTAAAGCCCCGTTGGAGAACATCTCAGCCGCTCTCGTTATCACAAGGTCGTCTTGTAGCCCAATTTTGAGACTACCATCGAGCGTATTTACAGCATCATTATTATATATTTCTTCGTCGCTTTCGGTTCCCCATGCCAAGAGGCTAAAGCCCTCCCATCGCTCTACCCGAACGTTCGGGTTGGAAGTTGGTGCATTGCAGGCCATGGTAATACTGCGAGAGCGCTGGTTCACGGTAGTCGCTGCAAAGCATTTAGGAGCTCTACGTTGCTTGGCATGTGAAGAACTGTTAGGCTGCGGGGACCGTCGCATCTTGTGGAGGGATGTCGCCAAACTTGCTTGAGCCGTTGACCATTGCTTTGGACAGTTTCACATGACTAAGCAGGCAGTCAGCTGACCAAGTCCTTGGAGAGCCCAAGAAGCTTTATGTTTACACGCTGTGTTTTTTTACAAGGTTAACAGCGATCCTATTCTACTTCTCTTTAGTCTCAAAAGTCTGAAGATCAGCAGCCTTTGCTGCATTGGCCCTCGCAGAGGTGCTTCTTTGACCATATCCGTAACTCAAACTAGGACTGTAGCCATATTGATTGACACTCCACTTGCCATGCCCCTTGACAGGAGGAGCAGTAGGTGCTAGTCTAGCGGTACTGTATCGGGGATCATGATATGATGACCCGGCTTGAGTTCGTGGATCTGCGTCCCCAGAGAAGCATTCTGGGTGGTAGAAGAGACGTATTTTCCTCCCGTCCCTGACCTGCCCAAGCGCAACTGAGTATTTGTTTTTTACGATGGGAGATAATATGCCCCACATCCAGCTTAAACCAACTCTACCTTCACATGCTCATCCTTGTAGATTGTCCTTCTGCATTCTCTGCACGTTTGAGTGCGGATTGCGGGACCTTCACTGACAGTCCAGTATTCTTGGTATGACATTTCGGGGCAGCAGTGATGGAACTCACCCATGGCGTTGAATGATAAGCAAATCTATATTTAGACAAGCCATTACAAGCGATGGCGGCATTGCCATTTGACAGCTCATTATTCACTCGCCTTGGTACAGTCGTATCATTCGTCTGGCATGTGGTGAAAAGTCTAGACCCCTCAAGTACAACCGTGCGACGCTCTCGCCCATGGTCAAAAATAAATCACATCTGGAACTAACAGGTGGATCCAAGGCGGACACTGCGACTAACCCGTGCTATTGTCCTCGGCCGCAAAGCAGGATGGCAGACTCCGTAGCCTCCGCAACGCACGGGTAATATTTTGGTCAGCAGTTATGTAATTGCCAACGTTTGGCAGGAAGTTATCCCCAAACTATTACCATGAACCCTCCATGGATAAGGGTGATTCAAAATATGGTGGTGACACTAAGAGTTATTTTTGAATATAGATTCAAGATACACAATGAGGCCTTGGACCCAAACACTTGGTCCAGTTTACGAAGCATGTGAACTATCTCGAGGGTTTATTTTTCGCGAGCAATTCCTCTTGCCCGTAGGATCTCCCTAACACCGCCTGCATGGCATCGCCTAACAACCATGGGCCCGCGAGCAAAAATCGCTACGACGTAGAAGGAACTGCCCCATCGAAGACGACTGTGACGGACAAATATGGCCAGGAAATATACTGCGAATATGATATGACGATGAGAAATTGGGAACTAGTTAGAGAGCTACTGAAAGTTCTCGCTTGGTATGTAGGGTCCGCCGCCGACAGCATGGATATTGACAGTTGACCTTTAGCGTCCTTTACAGGGGTCTGTCGTGCGGTGCATTGGCGAGTGCGGTCGTCCTATTTTCCGTATTCATTAGCCTGAGGGCCTCGCAGATTGCAGATCCGTACCTTTGGCTTACTGTTATTTCCTACATTGGGTACGCACATTTTAATGTTTGGCTGATGGGTGGCCCATTTTCATTCTGTGTCTGCAACAGGACCGAGACTTTCTACACGACAGTTATAGTCGCGCTGACTAGTCCGAAAGTAGCTCTCCGATTACAGCGAAAGACATATGGAGCCGGTATCGTTGTGCTAATACTCGTATGCGTCGCATTGCGACAATGGAGAGCGGACGGCAGCGCATTAACGGTATTTGCCGCCATTGCCCCATTTTGCACATGCTTGCTGGTTTATAACTGGCAAGCTAGTGCCAAAGCATCTATGACTGATGACGATGAAGCAATGGGTGCAAGTCATACTGGGGTGGTACGAGCCGCCGCACAATCAGACGAGATGAAAGCGGGAAACGGACTCGACATGGTGAAAGAGACAACCAATCCTCCGTCAACAACCCCAGAGGCCAAGAGTTCACCAGTGCCAACAAGAGTCATCGCAAATATTTTCCGCAACATTGTGATTCCTTGCATACCAACATTTTCAGTGACCTTTGTATTTTTCGGAGCCCTAACTGCGATAACAATATCCCACAAACTTTTTGTAGCAGCCAAGAAACCGCTTCTTGACACATTGACACTACTCGGTTGGCCAGTTCTCCTTGTCGGTCTGCGAGCGCTTTCTATGGCATCAATACAGACGGCGGCCACCAAAATTCACGTAAACGATTCCGCGGAGCAGGGACAGGCCAAGGATATCGTCAGATCGGCCGAAGATGCTGACAAGAAGGTGGACTCTGTTATCGTCACCAGCGGTGGCAAGACCCAATCCCCGCCACCCCTAGACCTAGTAACTGGGTTTGTCGTCCCACTGCACACGTCCCTGTTCGCTGTTGCTGTAACTGATGCAGAGCTGTACAATGTCTACACAAGCACAACATGGACGCAGTTTGCCTTGGGATTATCAGCAGTTGTCGGAATGATGTTCGCTGAAACCATGTTGGGCATCTGGATTGTTGGGAATCCTGCGAATAGAAATAACGCGAGCATATTTAGCCGCATTTCAGAACGAATAGCGAGAAGAACTCTTCAACCAACTATGACAGAAAATTCAATATACGTGGCCAAACCGTCGCAGTATGCCCTCGCTCGGAAGTTTGTGATCTTTGGCAGGGTACTGTATAGAGGTCCTGCTAGTTGCCGGTGTATATTCGAACATTATTCTCATTCTTCTTTTACCAGACAGTGGCATCCGTGACTTCCGCATTCCGAGTTATCTTCCTGCACTACCTGCCAACGTTGCCATCAATAGGTGGAAATATTTGCGATAAAAGCGGGATAATGGGAAGCTATACGTATTTCTTATTTCCAATGCCGGATGCCGATGATATGCTTCTGTATCGAGGATGGAATGTAACTGTTAGGTGTGTGCCAGGGCACAATTTTCTTTTTTGTTCTATGCTACCCGCTAAATGCTCCGACCATTACAGGGTGTTGGTCACATTTGGTTCTCTGACGCTCACCCTGTTTGCCCTTCTGTTGCTCGAGTGCTGCTATAGCGTCAATCCCTTTCGAGTTCGCCGGTTTGATCCGTGCCAGGGGAGGTGGTTTATTACTTCCTGTTCGGTAATTGTAACTGCGCACCTGACGTTCATTGCTCTTGTCATGTTTCTGCACCGGAGAGACTTCCAATTGATGGGGATGGTCGGATATTGTGAGCATGGGGAGTATACGGGGGATATGGCGCACCCTCAGCTTTGAGTGAAGCCAAGGGTGCTGCCACGCTGTATAGACTAGATTTTTTGTATTCGTAAACTAAGGTGATGAATGATTCCTGAGAATCGTGCTTTTTCTCGGTAGTTGGACTCGTTTCGCATCATCAGTTTCAAAGCTACATAGGCACCTTCCCTGCATTGAGGATATCAAGTGAGGAACGAACAACAAGCAATCGCCTAACGTCCGTCTCGGATGGCGAAAAGCTGGGATAACCACCAGTGATAAGTGACGTTCTACTTTAACCATCGATTAGAGGTACAGTCCTTTCACTTCAGTAGTATGGCATATTTCGGCATATACATATGGAGAACGTATACAAATCTACTCTAGGATCAATATATCCTATCATAATGATGCTAGTCTACGGGCCCCTAATCCCACACGTGCGACCTGCTACGGCTGAAATGTCGCAACTTACACAAAAACAGCTACAGCAGCACCAGCAATCATCGTCCAGAGCCAAGAGAACGACCTAAACACATCCACGCTTGGATATGAGCCACTGATGCTTTCGCTCTGTCTTGTTGGGCTAGCAGTCGAGGAAGTTGTGGACAATGTGATGCTAGAAGGGTTGGTGGAAATTGGCCCGGTGGAAGAAGCAGAAGCAGATATTGTCGATGATGCAGATGGTGCGACCGAGGACGCTGAAGCCGTACTAATAGGAGCAGATGTTGGGGTGGACGATGGGGGCGATACTACGGATGACGTGTTCGGGATAGGGGAGGATGTACTCCCGCTAATATCCCGATACCAAGGTTCATTGAGACAAGTTCCGACGTCCGTAATTTTGAGCGGAAAGCTAGAGCCCATATCTTTGATGGCGGATAGGGCCGCAAGAGCGACTCCCACCGTGAATGTAGAGATGTCATGTTCGAGGGAGATGAATCCTGCTTGAGGCACGAACCAGGATTTGATCTTTTTTAATACAGTCTGATGGGCGGCCGCAGATGGGGTCACGTCTGCGTCGGTAGAGTCACGGTCGGGGGCGGTACCCCACAATACTGTCCGATACCCAAGTGCCGAGGCAATGGCACGGATGCGGTCGTCGATGTCTCCGCAAGGTGGACGCCAGAAGCGGGGAACCTGTCCCGTTGTTTTGTAGATGAGAGCTTCTGTATACTTCATTTCCGCAACGAACTGGGCGTTTGTGAGAGAGGTGCTTGTCCAGTGGGTCCAGGTATGAGTGGCAATGTGGTGACCTGCATCGAAAGTTGCTTTGATTTCGTCCGGAGCACTGGATCCCATTGAGCCGACGACAAAAAAGGTGGCCTTTTGGTCATTGAGATTGACTAGTGCATTACGCAACGCTACAGTGTCATTCACATGTTGTCCGTTCACAACATTGACGATCGGACCATCATCGTAGGTTAATCCCCAAGTGTTCTGGCCAGGACACTGGTAGACGTCTGCAGTAAAAGCATTCGTGTCGGTGTCTCGAGTGCACAAGTTTGCAGGCCAGTAACAATTTGCAGCAGCATCGGCATTATATGTCGCTGTACAAATTCCTTTGTGTGTCGAGGGTGGAATTTGCAGATACTGTGCGGGAACCACCGATTCCACGTAGGCAAGAGCTTCTGTCACCAGAGGGTCGGTTAAATAAGATGCAGGGATGGGCTGAGACTCATCATCTGGGGGAAATGCTTTTGGCATTGGTGGTGGCATGGTGAGAGTTACCGCGACGACATTGGCGACGCTCATCGAAAGAACAGCAAGTGTGATGATGGAAAAGTGCATGTTTCTGCCGAGTATGAATTAATGGGAGGTTCAAAGAGTACAGAATTGTTGGTGAAGGATAAGTCAAGCGCTGCCATTTTATATTCCATATCACGCAATGTGTATTTGGAATAGAGAATATTCTAAATAAACATGTGGCATCAAGTGGCATCCAGTAATTCTTTCTACGTTTCGCCCGCCGAACCGAAATGGGGCAATAATTATTATTCCACGTCAAAAATAGGAACGCAACATCTCGAGAGTGTTCTGTATTGGAATTTCTTTTTTGGAAAATCCAGTCCATTTGTTGATTTTCTCCCTGCCGAGGATATTCCACATTGGCACTTTTCACACATGCTCACCAATAATGTGCCATTTGCAACCTGTTTTTTTCCGGTGCTTTGTTCGCAATCTTCATGTAATCCTGCCCATTGACAAAACACCTGCCAATAACAACGGCGTTAACCACTGCCAGAGATACAGGAATACCTTTCGCTTGCAGGCACACATAGGGCATCGAATAAGGATGGGTCCTCCCGCCCAGTCCTCGCCCACATTGAACAGTGACTAGTCCTTTCATGCTACTGCAGTTAGAAAAGTTCCTCTCAACCCTTTGCCGGGGAATTCATTCTGCGTTTCTATCATCATCCTTTTCTCTCCTTTACAACCCTGTTTAATAACCAAGCACACTATACGATTTCCTAAGGTTGTACATTCTTGCATTTAGACATGTTCATTACAACACAGAAATTCTTGTCGCATGTGAGCTGCATGTGTCATTGCTCCTGTTGTTGTAAAACGGTGCACGGTGTGAAAAGAAGAAAGGGGCCGGTTGCGACAGTCATATCAAAGAAGGTGACGACCGATGAATACAAAACGTGCTACCGATCATTGGGACGAATCATTTACCTGCTGTGCTCACACAGCGAGTGGTCGATCTCGTTGAATGGGAAACTTAAAGCACTAAACGATGGTCTCGCGCAGCTATTCATAGAAAAAGAAGGCGTTTCCTAATCAGGATCAATACAAGCCTAACTTTAACCCATAACTCGGATTGTTCCTTGCTCTCCAATTCCTCCGCAGACCATATATTGGCAAACAAAGCAGACACCGACGGGAGACAAAAAATAGCGGCTTCACTGGCGGATGAAGTAAAAGCTTGGTCGATACCTGGGATTCTTTAGCTTGCGCTTGCCTAAATTTAGCAATCTTGCGCCTTTTTCAGTAACCCTACAGCTTAAACAATGTAAGTTTTGAAAACTCGAGGACGCCACTTAAAGCCGATTTTCTATATCCAAATCCTAAGAATCAGCGTGCTCATCACCAAGCAAAGAGTATCAGGCGGGCAACATCAATAGCAACCCTCAACCGCAGAGATCAATAGACAAAGCCAACCTTGTTGTACATGATCCATTCTTGAACTATTGTAAAGGGCTCCAGTCTGAATAAAATGGATTGCCCTAGTGGGCAACCCACGGAGATTCCGCACTGCCAAACGCCACGATGTCTGTGGAGAAAATACGGGCCATTAATGTGCCAAAGCAAGAGACTGTTTTACGTGCGTTTAAGAGATAGCTTTTGCTCATCAGGATCTTATAATAACTGACCGGTTTGATGTGTAGGGACGGCGGATTTGCCGGATCCTGAAATCAGTGCAAAAGGTTCAGAAAAGGTCGGCAAGCAGAAATCGGACGAACCAAAAGGTTCCACGAAAGAGATTATTTCCACTCATCTCTTTGCGACGACATTTTCGATCCTCCTATGGTCTCTTCTATCGCTGATCCCTCTTGGGCCAATATACGACCGGAGCGGTCCACGGGTATCGGGCATAGTTTTCAGCGTCATGAATCTACCCATCAGTATTGCCATTTCCCTATCAACAGTTTTTTGGATCAGAGAGTTATTCGGCCTTAGCATTCGATGGTGGTCAAAAGATACTTGGTGGCCTGTACTAGGTACGTAACTCAACCATTCGACTATTCACGTGCGCCGAAATAGCGTACTCACATGTATGATATAGCGTACATGGTTTGGAATTTTATTGTGTACAGCATCTTTGCTCTCATCCCGCTGTTTCCCGTGCCTTTTATGCCAGTATATGTATGTAACAAAATCTCGTAATTTTAATGCATCTCCAGCAAGCTAAAATAATGTTTCTTTTCAATCCAAAGGGCGGAGGGTTAGCGTACTCTGTGGTTCCCCCTCTGATCACCTATCTTTTCTGTCTACCAACTCATGTGAAGGCACAACCCGACTTTCTCAAAAAGTTTGCGTCATCTATTATCGTCTCTGGATCGCTCAACGTCTACTGGTTCGTCCTTTTTGGCTTCTACTTTGCATTCATCAATACACCAAACACGACCGGGCTGCAAATTATGTTGCTTGCCATCATCAAGATATTCACTGTAGTTTTCGGGGGTATCCAGGTCAAATTGGTGCATAGCGTTGCAAGACTTCTGGGGCATAAGGAAGGAGAAAATATTGGGGCGCTTGCAAAGCTATTTATCGAAACAGGTGAGCAATGCATTCCCAAACATTCAGACAGCGAGACTTGACATCTGACCAACAACATTAGCCTTTGAGACGTACATCTTCCTTGTAATCCCCGACATGCACGATTGGGCCGTCTTTGGATTCTGGCTGGCGCTCGATATTTCCTGTCTCTTCCTCGAGCTCTTTCACAAATACGAGACCGCTCTCGATATCGTCCTATCCCGCTTCGGACGTCTCAAAATTTCACATCTCGGTTCATCGGAGGACCTCGAGGAGACCATACGCGTTCGTACCAAACATTATCTTGTGAGCGTTGTCTCAAAAGTTTTCGGAACGTGCGTCTTTTCCACCTTGCTGGCAACATGGTACTATGGGCCTAACAAGGAGTGGTATCCCATATTTGCCTCGTTTCCTGAAGCCGTTGTGACGGATGCCATCTTCAAGGCATGGTTGGCATTAGCAGCCATTCTGATTCATCTGATGGGAACGCTGGCGGTGTTTAGATACCGAGGTGTTCCTGTCGCAAAGTATGCAAGGCAATTTTTCGGACGATATGCGCCATTATTCGTGGGCATCTACCTATGTGCTCCTATTTTCCCTTTCACACACATGGTAATCATTTCATCCCAGCATATTCAGCGCGATCATGTTACTGACTATTGCTTCATCTACTAGGGAAAGCATTGGTATTGTTTAGAGTACATGTGGGAGGTCGTACATGGAACCCACGGTTAGGCCTCTTCATGTTATGATTTGCGGTGTCCGTGCAAATACCGCAGATTGCGTTGTATCCCGCAACCGCGCGGTACACGGTTTACAAGCCGCGCAATATACCCAAACTGTGCAGTAACATTTGCAACGATTGAATGAGTGCATGTTAGATTACACTATAGACATTATGAATAGAGTGGCAATCAATAAAATGACGGCGTTCTGCAAAATGCCATGATGCTCTTAGCATTTGAAATCTAGAAAGATTTGGGGCGGGTTAGAAGTGTAATGGATTTAAGACAAGTCCCTAGCAGGTCGCATCATAGCCCTGCTGGATGGGATGGTCTCAGAATCCCTTTTTTGGGTTCCAGTACAGGTCGTGAGGGCGAGAGGCAATTGGGGATTCAGTTAACGTGAACCGAGCAGGATTAGGCTTAGGGTTACAAGTGTGTTCCCATGTGGGTAAATATTTTGAAGTGTTCAGAATTGAAATAAAAGGGTTAAAGGTTTATCTGTTGGAATTAATTGATTGACTTCACCGAAATTGTCATGGGACAGTAACTTGAATAACTAGGCGAGTTATTAACTTATCAACAAGACCAAAATGGTTCTAGAAAGCCCTGAATCTGCGCTGACCAGCTTGTTAAAAACACATTGTTAGTTAGTTGTCTTATGCTGAGAGGTCAAAGTCAGGTTGTCATCATGTGATCTGTACTATATTTAGGACCCTTTCTGTCTTTCACAACTCTCTTGACGCAAGGTCCCGCACAGCTTCTAACACCAGAAATCTGCAGGGAGACTGCATGTTTGCTAAAGTCATCCATATCGATGCAAATGACGCCCTGCTCATGCCTCTATAAAGTCATGCGACGAGCGAGAAGCGGTAGAATCACATTACACGGCTGATCTTGGGAGCATTTTGCAAAGAGAACTGACCTCAGAAATGATATACCCCGTTCGACGCAAGTTTCGATGAGATGGAAAACTGATATTTGATTAGAACAAAAGTTGATGACATTCAACTCATTTGAATAGGGCTGATACAAGTCGGAAGCGGAACAAGAAGTATCAAGAGCTGTAGCAAAAGGTTTGCAAGTCGTCTTCACTATTCCATACAGCGGGCCACGAGGGAGAGGGCGGGCCAGGAATGAACTGACCTGGTCCAAGTCCCGCGAAAGATATGTTGGCTGGTCAAAGGTGTCCGGGTGGTGTTAAGTATCAATTTTTGTGAAATTTGAGGATATACATCCTGTTCCTAGTGCATTGCGATGGGATCTCTTATGTTTGCGACCCATGTGCGGCCCTATTAAGGTCCAACAAGACAGAAAGTATGTTGACGGAAATGGCACAATGTGACCGAGGATACATAATTGCCAACATGGCTCGGCCAAAAGTTCAAAAGTCTAAACAGTCAAGCGCTCTTGCCTGCTGCTACCTCGGAACGCATCCGGAAATCAATGAAGATGAAGTCGACCCACTAGTAGTTACAGTAAAAGAATGCGAGGAGCATAACCCGAATATTTTGTAGAAAGATGACTTCCTGTATGTACACGCAAGCTTTGCTGTCCCAGTCTCAAAGTCGACGACTGCGGCCAAAAGCTTATATGTCAATAACTGATCTCCGTCGTCTGATGTGGACTTTAACAGACGTTGTAGCAAGTGCACCTCCATTGCATTTAGCCAGATACTAATTGACGCTGCAGCAACTCAGCGGACACATAATGGTACAAAGTAAGAAAGCTTTCACGTTACAAGTATACTTCATATACTACAAATCATGTTGTGATGATCCGTAGCAATTAGAAAACACACATGTGCCAAAACCACTCATCCAAAAACATGCCCTGGAACATGGTCACGTTCAAGAATGGTCCGCGCGGGAGCGATGTTCATGTGCTTCATTCTTACATGTACACCCGTACCAGACCACCCACCGCCACACCTCTCCTGCAAATGGGGCACTTTGGCTGACGTCGGATTGCATCTCAGATACAAGCCGTACAAAAGAGATGCCCGCATCGTGTAGTTGAAGCATTGGAACATCGTGTCAAAGTCTCTAAACATATGGCACAGCTTGCCGACTCGCCGTTGCGTCGAGTCCTTGATGAGCCCACAACGACAGGCAACACCGCAATACGGCCCGGGTTGCTACGATGGGTTACCTCTGTTGTGACCATACCAAAGCCAAGCAACTCCGAAACCCGCTGCAACATGGAACTATGCCGCTCTGGTACATGTTCGAGATCTTTGGTCAATAGTTCGAAATATCATGTTACAAGCATTCGTGGTGCAAGGGAATGTTGTGATTAGATGCGACATGTGTCTCACTAAAACGGACAATGGTCAGTTCTATCAACTATAAACCCTTGGTGTGGCCAACCATGTACATACCGGTCAAGGCTCTAAATGAAAGTGCAATTGCAACAGTCGCACGGATGATTATGATCATTCTGCACATGCTGATGCACGAGAGCTTCTGAGGGCCATATCTCCAGGCAAACCGAACACGGGTGATGATGTACTGCAGATATATGGGCTGTCAACAGCTGCTCTCTCACAAAGCGATCCGGGGAGTAACTGCATGTAATTTTAGGAACCCTCAATGAAAGGCGCATTGACAAGTTCAATGATGACTGTGACGACTGAGATATGGCACTAACGGGGGATCACTGTCTTGGCCTATACTATGACGACCCGAGTTCCCTGTCATACGATGCTCTTCAAGTGCCCCGGAGGAGGCAAATCCTCGCCGACATTCTGTACACGTCATCAAAAGGGGTTCGGTGTTCGCTGACGTGAAATCGTATCCAACGATTGCATTCTAGAGATGCAACAGCTTTCAACGTGTTTCTGCAGCTTTATAGAAGTGGAAAACCCTTGCGAGCAAGATCTGCAACGAAGCTTATGCGCATTTTGTCGATGTGCTCTGAGGGCACCAGCAGACACGAATCGTCGGTGGCATTCTTCACAAGTTAGGGTGACCAACGATTGCGATCTGGAGCTGTCACAGCTTTCAACGTGTTTCTACAGCTTTCTAGAGGTAGAAAACCCCATGTGAACAAAGCTCGCAACGAAGCCTATGCGCGACCCGTATATGGTCTGCAAGAGCAGCAGCGGAGGCAAACTCTTGTGGACATTGTTCACAACACCGAGATGATTGGGCAACCGGTCCTCCACCAGTGGTTCGATAAAAGGCGTAGAAATGGACTACTGTCTCATGATCTTGTCGGCCCTGATCAGTACGGAAGCGTCGTCGACAATGTGTGCAGCCAAATCGCCTTTTGTCAGACATACGGGGCTTGCAAACGATGAAATGCTGTGGGAAGACGCGGCAACGGGGTGAATATGCGTGAGAATCTTTCGCGCAACCAGTTTCGACAGGACCAATTGGGCCACGTGACTGTGGACATTCAAAGCAAGCTTTACAGCATCTGCATCCCCGTGGTCGTTGTCGGGCCGCACAGTGCTCACATTTCAAGCATACCCACCGGTGTTTGGGGCATAGTCCATGTTGGATCCCCGAGGTCTAAATTAGATCCTTACTGGTCTGGATCCACCAGTGGGCATTATGTTGGCGGTCACAAGTCGCAGATTTCTTTTGCGCCGCTAGCTAGTATGTTCTAATAGTGACTTAGAGTGTTCCTACATGGGTACATATTCTGAAGTGTTCAGAATTGAAAGTGACCTAACCCTAACCCTAACCCATTAAAAACTAGTCGGAGACTGTACTGAGCATTTGAGCAGCATTGCATGATTACTGAGTTGGCTCCTTTTCTGAGCGGAGGTTGTGCTGGATTTGCAATGCCAGCATCAGCCATTCCCTCGTCCTTGTTAGTGCTTTTAAACACTCGTAAGATTCCACTCATTGCAATGCGAAACTCGTATCAGAATGTTGCTCCTACACAAAGATCGCTCCAGGATATCTGGCAATGTCCCGTTCTGTACGTAATGTGAGCCTGAAATTGCGTAAGCAGCCCAAGCCAGTTGCAATCGCAAACCCAAACACAGGTTTCATGGGCAGCCAGCCAATCAGCGCAGCTGCGCTGATGAATCACGCCAGCCAACCGCAAAAAAGACGCGCGTGGTAGACCGCACGCCAATCAGAGCGAGGTGCCCGAGCAGAAATGCCTCATTTGTACGCGCCACATCGGTGCGAGACGTTTCCCCCTCCCGCCTTGACAATACCTTATATAAAGCATTGGACTTCTTTACCTCCCATCAAGTTGTTGTCCTGCTTTTAGCTGGCCGCACTGATCGGTAACAAGCAACTACCGCTGAAAAAGTTCTCCAAATACCTCCCGTTATGGTTCGGCCGGCCTTCGCGCTCGCCCTAGCCCTTGGCTTTGTGACAGCTCTCCTCCCGGCTGCCGTCTATGGTATGACTGACGGCCGCCCAGGCTATGGTTTTATCGGATATGGCATCAACATGTACCATCCGACATGCGCTTCCGCTTGCCGTGACAGCATTAAAGCTCCCCTGAATTGCACCTCCGCGGACATGGGACAAGCCGGCCATTCTCACAACATGAGGATGAAGCGGGACTTGATCACCCTAATGAAGCGGATGGGAATAATGGGTGATGGCAAGGAGGCACAGCTCCCGTCCGGCGATGGGTGGATGGTCATGAAGCCTACGCCCGCATGCAAAGTTCACAACGACTTCTACCTTCAGACGCTTGCCTTCTGCATCAGTCAACGATGCGAGGGTATCTCTCTCGATCATATCGAAAAGTTCTGGGCAAATGACGTCGCGGGACGTGCCCTTGATCAGCCGGCGCCAACAAAAAGCTATACAGAAGCCCATCTGGCTGCGACAAGCTCGACTCGTCAGACCCTCAACAACAAAGTATTCCTCAATTACACCGGCATCGTGACGGACGATACCTATACTCCCAATATCAACGCCCTCACCAGTTTTGAACGGGTTGAAGTCCTGCATTCACGATATGGCCTCATAATCTTCCTTAGCGGCGCAATCATTCCAATCTTCCTCTCCTTCCTTCGGTTCCTGCCTTGGCCCGCTTCTGTGACAACAAAGTTTCACGCACACGTAATCGACCCTCCACTGTTTGGCTCAAAGTACAATTCACCTATTCTGCGGGGTCTCGTAATCATGCCAACGCGCGGCCAGGCCCTGTTCATTGCCTACTACTGGATCCTAAATGTCGTCCTCTCGGCTGTGAACCTCTCGGCCCCGATGCCTGACGCCTGGTTCTCTGACGTTACAGGACAGGTTGTTGCCTACCTCGCCAATCGGGTTGGCGTGCTTTCGTTTGCCAATCTGCCATTAGTTTTATTGTACGCCGGCCGAAACAACATTCTCCTTTGGTTAACAAACTGGTCGCATGCGACGTTCCTTCTGATCCATCGTTGGATCGCCTTTATCTGCATGTTGCAGGCCGCTCTCCACTCTGCACTGTACCTCTATGCATACATGAAATTCGATGATAACGATTACGCTTCGGAAAGCAAGCTCCCGTACTGGTATTGGGGCATCATCGCAACTTTGTCGCTGGTTATCACTATTCCAGCATCTGTACTACCTATCCGACGAAAAGTCTACGAGTTATTCCTCTCGAGCCATATTGTGCTGGCGATTCTAGCCTTGGTCGGCTGCTACTTGCACATATATCATCGCTTCAAGCACCAGTGGGGTTACGAGACGTGGATATACGTGGCCGTCGGGATTTGGGCATTCGACCGCCTCCTTCGTCTCGCTAGGTTGTTTTACATGGGTGGTTTCAAACGCGCGTACGTCACCGCTATTGATGACGATTATTACCAAGTCGACATTCCTGGCGTTGATGCTTCGGGTCACGTTTACTTTCATTTTCCTACTCTCAGCACCTGGCGCTTTTGGGAAAGTCATCCTTTTTCGGTTGCTGGATTACGCTGTCCGTCCGTCGATATTCAAGAGATAGCAGTCAGTGGAAAGGATGGATTGACAACACATATTGCCCGGTCGTTGGCCGAAACGAAAGATACTGGCATCACGGTTTTTGTCAGGAAGCATAGCGGTTTGACGGGTCTACTAGCTGCTCATAGCACGGCGTCTGCGGGTATTCCCGTATTTGTGGAGGGATCTTACGGGGTCGGCATGTCCTTTTTGCAAGATCAGGAGGTGCACCCCACGAGAGAATTTCCTAACCTCTTGTGCATCGCCGGGGGTGTCGGAATTAGTGCCATACTACCAGTCTTGAAGCGTGCCAACGGCATTCCTCCAATCGGTACCAGCAAGCTATATTGGGGGGTTCGCAGTCTTCCGCTTGTTCATGCCATCGAAGACATGCTCGGAGTGCCGAAGAACGACTCCACGGTCCCAAGACACTGGGGTCAGACCGAGGTTGTGCTATCCGTAGGCGAGCGATTCAATTTACGGACTGTACTTCAGGAAGAGTTGACGAGCAAGAATGGAGGCACGACCGTTGTAGTATGTGGCCCGGCCGGGATGGCGGACGAGGTACGGGTACTGGTTGCTGGGTTGTCCAGACATACAGGGTTGCTTGTCCGGTATGTTGAAGAGAGTTTCAATTGGTGAAGACCAGCCAAAAGACGAGATGTGTGGATTGCACGCTTTCGAGTGTCCGTTATCCAGCTACAGTTAGCTTTTGTTTTGTGCATACATAGTAACATTTACGGTGTTTGATTTCCGTCATCTGCCTGCTGGTTCGTTTCTGTTTGTTTATATCTGGCGCAACAACGATCCTCGCTTGTATATCATACTCATTTGAGCACATCAAAGTCACATACGTGTCAGCTGATGTTTCGAACAGCATCCTATTTATTTACCCCATCACCACCCACAAAGGGTAACATAATGTTAGGGTTAGGGTTGCGGCATGCTCAGAGTCGAGCTCAAAAACCTACAAGTTACAAGGGTGTCCCCACCGGGTTGTTTTTTGCAAGTGTTCAGATTTGAAAGTGGTCTTAATTAAAGTTGTTGGGAATGGTCTAAAACACGGGAATCTGCAATAAAATCGCCAAGGGTTAGGGTTAGGGTTGCGCCATGGTCGTCAAGCTCTAATAAATTTTTGTACGTGTAGAAACTGTTGGGGAAAGTCGAGAAATAGGTGTTATCCTAGGACTAGACTGGGTGCACCTGAGAGGTGGATAGCTCGGTTAGAAGCTAGTCCGTCACTGGAGAACGTCTCTGGGGACCTTGCGTCAAGAGAGCAGCGAAAGAGTTGTATTACAAACAGAGAAAGGCAGGTCCTAAATATGGTACAGGTCACATGATGACAACCTGATTTTGACCTCTAATTTTGGGCGCATAAGACAACTAACTAAGAATGTGTTTTGACAAGCTTGTAGCGCGGATTCAGGGCTTTCTACAACCATCTTGGTCTTGTCGATAAGTTAATAACTCGCTAAGTTATTCAAGTTACCGTCCCATGGCAACTTCGATGAAATCAATCAATTAATTCCAACACTTCCCCTCACCCAAAATTCCCTTTTACTTAAGATCTCATGTTTGGGCATCGTCCAGTTCTTTAATGCCAAGTTCAGCACAACACTGGGTGAATCTCGGTGCAGGGATGGCCTTGGTAAGAACATCTGCAGTCATCTGTTGAGTGGGGCATCTTCTAACTGAAATCTCACCACTCTGGATGTGTTCCCTGAGGAAATGATAGTGTATATCGATATGCTTCGTCCGCTGTGAGATCAGGGTGTACTTCGCCAGTTCCATCGTGCCGTTGTTATCCATTTTGAGCACAGTTGGGTTTTGTTGAACTTCCAAAAACCCAAGCTTTGCCAAGAGGTTTCTCATCCAAATAACCTCTCGTGCACAATCTGATGCCGCAATATACTCTG